TCGAACCTTCCCAAACTCTTAATTAATCGAACGCATATACAAAAGAAATTGTAATCATCCCTAATTGCTTTTACCATGATTTTTTGTTGAAAAGGAAATAAAGGCAAGATACTGACATCGCATATCATTATAATTGAGGAAACAAACATATCAATATATCATGTAAGCATAAACATACATGCACTGCACATATATATGTTCTTGATAAACGGCGAATAATTGCTCGACAGACAGAAGAACCAACCGCAAAGAAGTTAAATATAGTTGTGTACAAATCTCGAACGCGTGGACTCAATTGAATATACAGATGATCAATCTGAAGCATCAACAAGCTTTAAGCATGCATAAGCGATTGATATAAACGCAGCGGAGACTAATCGAGCATAATACATAATCAAAAATCATCCATTCATATAAACCTAAGGCTTTGATACCACATGTAAACATAAATCATAATAGCATGGATCTTAGAATTAGATGATTTCACTAATCGATAATAGATCGGGGAAACCTACCTCGATCCATGACGAGAGCGGCGGCGGCGCTGGAGTAGTAATCACCGGAATTGAGTTTCTCCCTCTTGACCCCTTTAGGTTTTAGGTTTAGAGATTTATGTGATGGCTAAGAAATTCTACGTAATGGGTTGAGAGAGGATCAATCCTAGAGCTTCTTTATATAGACCCACCATCAGGGTACATTAGGAATTTACCTTTCATTAACCTAATCAATATAGGATTTACCTTATATATTAAATCATTAAGTGATAATTACACTTGGGCCAGAATTATTCCCCAGTGACACACGGGAATTGGGCTTACAACGAGTCCTAATACACCACGCTACTACGGGTCGGGTAATACACATCCCATCACGAGTCAGGTCAGATAATGCCTGGGTTCAAATTATCATCCCTAATTTACGTGGTTCCAATACTACTGTCGATTGCGATAAGATCTGTTATTCAGCTTGAGTACTTTCTCACACTCTGTTAGAGGGCAATATATACAAAGGGAAAACCCTAGCTCATAACACGGCAACTAGCTAGTGCATGCATGGGCTACGTACGAGTCCTAATACAGCGGATTAATTCCCTAAATACAGTAATAATTAAAAATAATTCTCAGAATGCATAACTTTTATAAAAATTCCCAAACTACCAAAGTTTGACATAGTTCGAGTTCAATAAACTCGAACTAGTACCTGATCGACTCCCAACAAATCGATCCACGTACATCGAGGATGGAAAACTCGATCTGCAAGACCCGGATCGATGACCTGTGCAGCGCTCCACCCTAGATCGATGTACCGGGAAGTGATCTAGGTCGTTCGATTGCTCAACCAGCGAAGCAGTGATGACCCGGATCGAGTGTGGAAAACTCGAATTAAGTAGATCGAGTTAGAGGTAATCGATCTACTTGACGCGGATCGATGATGTCAGGCGCGCACAACCGTCGATCGAGTACTCTAAACTCGATCTAGGCCGTTCGATGGCCAAATCCGCGAAGCAGGGATGACGCGGATCGAGTGGGTGAAACTCGATGCAGTTGAACGAGTCCCCTTTAATCGATCCCTTTGACGTGGATCACTGATGTCAGAATCGATCTACCCTTGATCGAGTAACCAATCCTCGATCTGGATCGTCGATGCGCCTAACGACAAACTCCTTTTGACGCGGAGCGAGCGCCCCAAAATCGAAGCACTAGTTCGAGTTTTGTAAACTCGATCTACTCTCCCACAGAACCTATAAATACCCCCTCCCATTCCACCAAAACTCACACCACTCCATTCTTCTTCCTCTCTTCCTCCCACCACTCTGCGGGGTACAATAAGTGATTGGCCAACCAAGCACCATAGATGGATCGAAATGTGGGAATCTCGTCAGACGTATGCAATTGATGGGATCCCAATGACGAGGCCAATGGGGTACCAAGATGAATACATGGTTTGGTACCGCAAGTTCACAAAAAGATGGGTAACCAAACGTGGCGCTGTGATCGGTTCATTGGTAAGCACAATATCTATTTACTATAATCACTTTAGCTACACAAATAGTGTTTGACTAACATGTTTATTATTTAGGTTGATGGGTTGGAACTTGCATCAATGACGTTGGAGAATGAACCAGAAGGAGATGTGTCAGCTGAGAAAATTTCATTCTTGAAGAAGCTCTTCAAGAATCTCTTGTCATGTTCGCGGGAAATCCGAAGGGATGTCATTGCATATCCTCTTGCTCCTGCACCGCCACGTCCTTCCTCCCACGCCATTGAAGTTGAATCTCTCCCGCCATCACCACCAAGGAGGAGTAAACGTCGGCAAGAGCCAGTTACAGTCCCTGTGCACGTTCGAGAAGATGTGGCACTTCCTGACCCATACGAGTATGGATTCCCTCCCGCCAGAAGGGAATTCGGAGAGGGATCATCAGAATCTGCTCAAGGAGGGGGAGGAGGAGCCTACTATTCATCGTATGGTCATTAATTTCAAACCCCGCATCAAAGCTTCCAGACTCCGATTCCAAATGTTTATTATGGTCCTCCAGCCACTGCAACCCCACCTCCATTGCCACGAAATACTAGAATCGGATATGGAGTTCGTTCAAGGAATAGAAGTCGAAGGGAGGGACGCGGACGTGGTGCACAAGAGTGAGGTGTTCTTTAGAGTTGTTAAGTTTTTCTATTTCTTTAGAGTTGTTAAGTTGTTCTATTTCTAATGACGTTGTTCCGTTGTTCTATTTCTTTAGAGTTGTTAAGGTGTTCTATTTCTAATGACGTTGTTAATTTGTTCTATTTCTCTAGAGTTGTTAAGTTGTTCTATTTCACAACATAAAGTTCTTAAATCACAACATAAAATTCAAATTACACCATAAAGTTCTTAAATCACAACATAAAATTCAAATTACAACATAAAGTTCTTAAATCACAACATAAAATTCTAATTACAACATAAAGTTATTAAATCACAACATAAAATTCAAATTACAACATAAAGTTCTTAAATCACAACATAAAATTCAAATTACAACATAAAGTTTCAATTATCAGTCGATGACCCTGGACACTGGCGCCTATCATGCCCTTCAACTCGACATGCAGAGCACTTCTTCAGGCGGCGTCGCTGTGTCCTTGATCTATCCATTTCATTTGCAATTCGGTTAACTCTAGATCGACCTTTGGTACGCTTTATGTGCTCGGGAGGGTACACTACAGGTCCATCATACTAATAATTTCCCCCCCCCCCTGCACCCTATTCTGGAGCATGTCGGACCGAAAGCGACTGGACAGAATGATTGAGCAGTAGTTCGAGTTTAGTGTAATCGAACTACACTAGTTCGAGTCCCTAAAACTCGATCTATGACAACAAAGAATCTTATCCCTGAAACCCTATCCTGAAGCATGTCTGTGGGCCAGTGGTTCGAGCCCATTGGAATCGATTTTGGTAGTTCGAGTCATAGATAATGATCGAGTGCATTAAAGTCGTTGCACTACATCGAGGTTTTAGACGTCGATCTAACTTGATCGAGTTGTCCATACTCGATCTATTAAGATCGAGTCATTTGTCATCGATCTATGTTGTTCGAGTTTTCCATAATCGAACAAATGTTGATCGAGTTTTTAAAACTCGATCCTATTTTAGTTCGAGTTCTCTATCGTCGAACTGGTGAGTAGTTCGAGTTTATGGGACTCGAACCCGTTGAAACTTGGGTAGTTTGGGAAAATTTTATAAAACCTATGTATTTCGGGAATTATGTTTAATTTTTACGGTATTCTGTTCTTCCTAATACAGCACACTTAACGTACTAATAATACGTAGCCGGCCAGCTCGGATAAGAAAGTGGTACTTAATTAATTTGTTTCCGACCATTAAAAGGTTTTCCTAATCCTAGTCGAGCAAGGCTATCTCAGGTCCCTCCTCCCCTTATATAAACACGTACGCCAATCTCCTCCAGCTAGCTCAAAAAGGAAACAAACAACAAAGTTCCCTTTCTCTCATCAGTTGCCTTTTCCTTCAACGTACTCTACCAAAGTCTCATTACTCATGATGTTGACGAGTGTCGCGAAGGTGCCCGCCGGAATTAGCAGTCGGGGAAAGTTTGAAGCAATGATCACCGGCTTCTTCCGAGGCGGCGGGGGCTGGAGGAACGGTTCTACATGCGAGATGGCGGTGAAGCAGCTGCAAAGCCGACTGAGAAACCTGAAGAAAGAAAGGGAAAAACGGGTCCAGGACCGTACCGGCAGAATAGCTCGGTTCGTAGACGATGGGGACGTGGGTGCCGTCTTCGTGGCCGCGGAGCAGATAGTGAGGGACGAGAACGCGATCCGGATCCTCGAATTGCTGTACCATTCGTGCGACGTCGTCAAGGCCAATCTCACCTACATACGCCGCCACGTGGACTGCCCTAGGGAGATCAACAAGGCGGTCTCCACGTTGGCGTTCGCCACCCCACGTTGCCCCGATCTCCTCGAGCTTTGGATCCTTCGACAGCTCTTCTTCGAGCGTTACGGCGAGTTCTACGATGTTGCGGCGGCGGATGCGGCGAGTCTCGAGGGTTTCCGTGGAAGTTTCGTTGACTCGGAAGTGGCGGAGAGGCTGGAGTCGAGGCATGCTAGGGTTCCTTATCCTACCACGCTTGCAAAGGTTTGTGCGATACTTCACAAGGACGTTGGAGCTCGGCGACGAGGAATTAGTACCACTGGATCCTGAAGATTTGCAGCAGTAGTACTATAGTAGTGCCTATTTAGATTTGGAGAAGTTATTGTAAATGGTTTAGAGAGGATAAAGCATTTGAACTAAGTAGTTGTGTAATTTAGGGTTTCGTTAATTTGAATCATTATACTAAAAAGGTTAATCAAATGTTGTGTTTCTTTAGGTTGTGGACGACACTTCCTTAGTGCTTGTTGTTGCTAAACACATTTTCTTAGTTCGTAATATACATATTTTAAGTAATGTATGTTAAATCATACAGTATTGACAATTTGACTAGAAAACCTGCTTATCAGAATCCAAAACGTTGTAGCATTTTATCGATATAAAATAGTTTTTATTTTTACATGTCGATATAAAATGGTTTCGTTCAAAGTTAAATAACGATTTAAACACACAATACATTATCACTGATATATTTTTTTTTAATAGGAAAAACTGTATTCATCTAATTAACCATGAGACACAAAGTTTTCAGCGAAAGCCTCTCTTAGAAGAGGTACAAGAAAATGAGGTTGGCTATCAACCCACACCTCTTCAGTCTCCCAACTACAATCAAAATGGGCCATCAAATGGGTCGATTTATTCCTGTCTCGGCCCACAAAACCCCACCTGACTCCACTTCTTCCGGGTTCCATTGAATCTGTGATCTCTTCACAACTCCAAATAGGAATTGTCCAGTTGCATCCCTCGCCACCACTCCCCATCCCATTCTTTGGCCCTCGAAGCATGCAACATCGACACTGAGCTTCACTGACCCCATCATCGGAGGTTTCCACCGCTGCTCCTCCATTCGCTCCGCTGGTTGGAACTTCCTCTTCTTTTCCAGGTAATCCTTCAACCACTCACTAGCTCGAGCCAGAATTTCCCATTCTCCGAGGTAAGATTCTCCCCTCTATCTATGTATGAACCCAACGTGTTGTATCGCTAGACCCTACCAGCCCAAGCACATTCTCGAAAAATGTGTTCTTCTGTTTCCATTAGGCCACAGAAAGGGCAATCTTCGCTGCCTTGTTGAGTGAGTTTTAGGATTCGAGCCCTTGTAGGTATAATGTTTCTCAGCCATCTCCAAACACACACCTTCACCTTTGGAGGAATCTGAAGGTTCCAGACCTTCTTCCAGTTAACCGGCGAATAAAATTCACCCTCTTCATCAATGTTTCTATCCTCCCATAGTCTGTAAGCAGACTTCCCAGTATACTCACCCGTTTTTTCCTTCCCCCATATCCTCCTATCCTCGATTGGTTGTCTTGGGATAGGAATTTTTAGAATGTTAGTGCAATCCGTGGGGTTGAAATGGGTCTGGAGTAGGTCTACACGCCAGCTTCTGGTCTCAATGTCCACCAATTCAGCTACAGAGGTTGAGTTACCCCAATGAACTGTCGGGGAAGTAACTTTAAAAGTGGTACTGGAAGGTATCCACCTGTCAAGCTAGATATCTATTTTGTTCCCATTGCCCACTCTCCACCTTAAACCTCGTTTTACCAGATCCTTAGCAGCCATTAAACCACGCCACACCCAGCTAGGGTTCCTTCCCAGTTCAACCTCCAGAGGATCATGATATATTTGGTTCATAGTATCTCGCGGTGTTTGATTTCAAGTCATTGTCCAGAGATAACATCCATAGGACTATTCTGAATTTGAAGGGTCTTCTCATCTGAGAATGCATATTTATTTATATTTTTTTCATTAAGTATAAATGCAACATATTTTTTTCTTTGGATATTATAAGGAAGGGAGTTCCCCCTCCTTTTTGAATGAGGTTACATGGAAAAAAAATAGATTGGTTGATAGAGGAAATTGATGAGAGTGAACGGGCTCTTGAAACTGACCCGCAGAAACCACAACGGGCTTGACAAGCATGCAACGGAAAGCCCAACAGCAGATCCAACCCATTACTATCGTAAAAAAGTCTATCCCATAACTCATATAAAGATATAACCCACCACCACACCATACGCTGAAATCGCCAACCACAGCCAACGATTTCATCTTCCTCATCGCATTTTCTTCTTCCACTCAGCCACTGTCGTCCTTAAAAGACTAGTAGCATAGAGATGATCCTAGGATTCTCCACCTTAATAGAGAGCTTAATGGTGCACTTATGAGTCACATAATGGGTGACATTTATAGAGTGCATAATGGGGGGACTTAATGGGGTGTATTGATGTAGAGGGAGACATTATGAGGGGCATTGATGCCTTGTATGAGGAGAGGCCTATATAAGGAGCCATCTCTCTCACTTGTAACTCATTCCATCATTTTTTAGAGTAATACACACTAGAGAGTTCTCCCAATTCCTTTGTCTTTGCTTCCTTATTCTTTGCTTGGTAGTGAGTTGAGAGAATGCTGCCTAGCGCTCTAACGGAATTGAGAGCTAGGGCCGCACGATCGAGAGTAAGGTCGTGACAAGTGGTATCAGAGTCTGGTTTGGCTTTGTGCTAGCAAAGTAGAAGTAGTAGCCAGATGAAAAGGAAGAGCCTCACCAAAAATGTCGGGATCAGATAGCGGCGTTACCGAGCATGAGAAGCATCGTGGAAGGGATCCTGTGAAGAATCCCAAGCCAAAGGGTGACAAGTCAGTCAAGCACTCGTGATCCTATGGCATCTCTAGAGAGGCGTGTCTCTAGAGTGGAAGTGAAGGTGGCGGAAGACATCACTGCCATCGAGGATTTGGGAGCTAACTTCACCCAAGTCCAAAGCGATATTCAAGGAATGGCTGGTAGGTTGGCGAGCTTGGAGAACAACCATGATGGGATGCGAGAAGACCTCGTAGCTCTCATCACCAACACCATCTCCGAATCCATGAACAACGCCGTTGAAGTTGTGAAAGAGCATGTCCAGGCTGAGCTGGTCGGCGTGAAGGAGGAGATTGCAGAACTCAAGAGTGAGGTCACTCTCGTGAAGAGAGCCATGGCTAGCGGACCAGCCCCTGTGCAATCCGTCCCACGTGCTGATGTTCCAAGACCGAAGAACTTCAGAGGTTCAAGGAATGCGAGGGAGTTAAAGAACTTCCTTTGGAGTCTTGAGCAGTACTTCAAGGCATCCGACATCCAAGAGGATGAGGTAAAAATCGGTACCGCTCCACTATACTTGGTCGATGTTGCAATGGTGTGGTGGAGGCGATGTGAAGCGGACGTCGAAAGAGGTACGTGTGTAATGGTAAAGTGGGAAGATTTCAAGAGAGAAATCAAGAAGTAGTTCTACCCAGAGAACGTGGAGTTTGAAGCTCGTTCGAAGTTGAGAAGACTCACCCAGAGGGGTGGAGTTCGAGAATATGTGAAAGAATTCTCGGAGCTGCTTTTAGAGATCCCGGACATCAGGGACAAGGAGACCATGCACGTCTTTCTTGATGGGCTGCAACCATGGGCCAAGATGGAGATGCAACGTCGAGGAGTGCAAAACTTTGCATCTGCCATGGCAATGACGGAGTCTTTTGTTGAGTACAAAAGGCAAGAGAGAAGAGGCAAAGAGAAGAGTTCAAAGCCCAACAAGGGCGGAGAACAACAGAAGCCTTTCAAGGAGGGGACTCTCACTCAACAACACCAAGGTGGTTCAAGCAAATGGGGTAAGTACGAACCAAAGCCCGTATCTTGTTTCCTTTGCGATGGACCACATCGGGTGCGAGATTGACCAAGGAAGGCGAGATTGGCAGCCATGGAAGCTCAAGATGAGGAGCCTAAGGCAGCGGCGGAGGCCAAGATTGGCTCACTCCGCAAGCTTGGAGTGGTGAAGACCGACGTCAAGGAGAGCAAGCGTAGGAGGTACTACGTTCCGGCGCAATTCATTCAAGGCGAGTCAAAAGCCTTGGTGGATACCGGTGCCACAGACAACTTCCTTCGCATCGAGGAGGTGAAACGGCTGGGTATTGCCTACGAGAAGGGGAGAGGGAGGCTCAAGACAATCAACTCGGAGTCCATCCAGATCCATGGAGTCGCTCACAACGTGCCAGTGAAGCTTGGCGAGTGGGAAGGCCTCATCGACTTTTCCGTCGTCACCATGGACGATCACCCAGTCATCATCAGCATCAACTTCCTCGACAAGGAGGGAGTGCTCTTGAAGCCCAACTCCAACACGATGTGCTTGGAGAAGGAAGGGGATTTCCATATTGTCCATCTCTTGAGAGAAGATGTCCCCCATAGTGGTCTATCCGCTATGCAGGTATTGAAAGGGTTCAAGAAGAATGAACCAACCTTTCTTGTGTCCTTGAAGATGGAGGAAGAAGGAGGCTCAACGGGAATAACAACTCCCAACATCGAAGGCGTCCTCGAAAAGTTCGATGACGTGATGTCATCGGAGTTGCCTAAGAAGCTGCCACCAAGAAGAGAGGTAGACCACAAGATCGAGTTGGAGCCAGGAGTAAAGCCCCCTTCTCAAGCACCATATCGCATGTCGCCACCGTAGTTAAAAGAGTTGCGGAGGCAGCTCAAGGACTTGCTAGATGCAGGCTACATGCGGCCATCGAACTCACCTTTTGGAGCACCGGTGCTGTTCCAAAAGAAGAAGGAAGGGTCGTTGCGCATGTGCATCGACTATCGAGCCATCAACAAGTTGACGGTGAAGAACAAGTGGCCGATTCCCAACATTGCCGAATTGTTCGACCAGCTTGGAGATGCAATGCAGTTCACCAAGCTAGATCTTCGCTCGGGCTACTATCAAGTGCGGATAGCAGAGGGCGACGAGCCAAAGACGGCTTGTGTGATGAGGTATGGCTCTTACGAGTTTCTTGTGATGCCATTCGGTCTCACCAACGCACCAGCCACGTTTTGCACATTGATGAATCAAGTGTTCGAGCCATTCTTGGACCGGTTTGTCGTGGTCTACTTGGATGACATCGTGGTGTATAGCAAAACACTCGATGAGCATGCCGAGCATCAACGCCAAGTCTTCCAAGTCCTTCGCGACAACGAGGGAGAAGTGCACATTTGCCGCCACGGAGGTTCCATTCTTGGGGCACATCATTGGTGGAGGCAAGTTGAAGATGGATGGGGCGAAGGTACCGGCAATTCAAGAATGGGAGCCTCCGACGAAGGTGTCAGAGTTGCGGTCATTCCTCGGCCTTGCCAACTACTATTGGAGGTTTATCAAGGGCTACTCCAACATTGCAGCACCCTTGACGGATCTCTTGAAGAAGAACAAGGCGTGGGATTGGTCAGAAAGGTGCCAAGAAGCATTCGAGGCCTTGAAGGCAGCGGTGATGAAGGAGCCCGTGCTCTTGCTCCCCAACCCGACGTTGGCCTACAAAGTGCAGACCGATGCATCCGACTTCGCAATTGGAGGTGTGTTGATGCAAGATGGGCATCCCATTGCCTTCGAGAGTCGGAAGCTCAGTGAGATGGAGAGGCGATACACCGTCCAAGAGAAAGAGATGACGGCCGTGGTGCATTGCTTGCGCATGTGGAGGCACTACTTGTTTGGGTCAAAGTTCGTAATGAAGACGGACAACGTGGCAACAAGCTACTTTCTGATGCAGAAGAAGCTCACCCCTAAGCAAGCGAGGTGGCAAGATTTTCTGGCCGAGTTTGATTTCGTCATGTAGTACAATCCAAGCAAGGCGAACTCCATTGCCGATGCTCTTAGCCGCAAGAGTGTAGCCGCAAGCATCAGCCAGCCCATGTTTCATTTGAAGGAGCGGATCGTCGAAGGTCTTGGCCATGACCCCTTCACCAAAACTGCAGCGGAGTACATCGAGCAAGGTAAGACTCGACGATTTTGGATGAAGGATGGGCTCATCATGACCAAGGGAGAGCGAGTGTTCGTGCCAAAATGGGCTAACTTGAGGAAGGATATCATGAAGGAGTGCCATGATTCCAAGTGGGTGGGCCATCCCGGCATCGAGAGAACGCAAGCGCTCATCGAAGAAGCATACTTCTGGCCGCGTATGAGAGACGACGCGGAGATGTATGTGAAGATTTGTCTTGTGTGCCAACAAGACAAGATGGAGCAGAGAAGCCTGACAGGCTTGCTAGAGCCCTTGCCCACACCTCAACGACCATGGGAGAGTATAACCATGGACTTCATCATCGGACTTCCCAAAGTCGATGGATGCGGTTGCATCATGGTTGTGGTGGAAAGATTCTCGAAGTATGGAGTGTTCATTCCTGGGCCAAAAGACTGACGACAGAGGATGCAGAGCGTCTATTCTTCAAGAACGTGGTCAAGTATTGGGGCATTCCTAGCCACATTGTGAGCAACAGAGATGGACGCTTCACGGGCCGATTTTGGCGAGAGTTGTTCAAGATCATGGGCTCAGACTTGAACTTCTTGACGGCATTTCATCCTCGAAGCGACGGACAGACGGCGGGGGTGAATGCCTTGTTGGAGGTGTACTTGCAGCACTATGTGAGTGCAAACCGACAAGATTGGGTGAAGTTGATGGACACGACATAGTTCTCCTACAACTTGCACCGCAGTGAGTCGACCAACACGAGTCCATTTGAGTTGGCAACGGGGCAGCAACCTTTGACACCTACAACTGTGGCAACTTGGTATAGAGGCAATAGTCCGGCAGCCTACAAGTTTGCTAAAGGCTGGCACTAGAAGATGGAGATGGCCAAGTCTTACTTAGCCCGTGCAAGTAAGAAGATGAAGAAATGGGCAGACAAGAAGAGGCGGCACTTGGAGTTTGAAGAGGGAGACATGGTGATGGTAAAGTTCTACCCTCATCGCTTCAAGCATCTCAAGAACGTGCACAAGGGACTGCTTCGCCGCTATGAAGGGCCATTCCCCATCGTGAAGAGGATTGGCAAAGTGGCATACAAGGTGGAGGTGCTGTCGCACTTGGAGATCCATCCGGTCTTTCATGTGAGCCAACTCAAGGCTTTCCACGAAGATAAGGAGGACGAGCAACGAAGAGAGTCGCAGCGCGCACCAACACTCATCACCAAGACACATGACCATGAAGTCGAAGAGATCATGGCGCGTCGTGTCATTCCTCATCGTGGCGTACATCCAAGCTTCGTGGAATAGTTTGTCAAGTGGCGCAACCTTCCGGAGAGTGAAGCAACTTGGGAGAAAGAGCTCACGCATTGGAAGAACAAAGACTTGATCGAGGTTTTCCATCAAGAGGACGCGACGAGGGCGTCGCGATCATAGGTGGGGGAGGATGTCACATGTGGAAGATGACATGACGCCAACAAGGTGACAACATGGCGGCTGCACATGTGGCGTGTATGGAAGACTAGTAGCATAGAGATGCTCCTAGGATTCTCCAGCTTAATAGAGAGCTTAATGGTGCACTTATGAGTCACATAATGGGTGACATTTATAGAGTGCATAATGCGGGGACTTAATGGGGTGTATTGATGTAGAGGGACATTATGAGGGACATTGATGCCTTGTATGAGGAGAGGCCTATATAAGGAGCCATCTCCCTCACTTGTAACTCATTCCATCATTTTTTAGAGGAATATACACTAGAGAGTTCTCCCAATTCCTTTGTCTTTTCTTCCTTGTTCTTTGCTTGCGAGTGAGTTGAGAGAAGGCTGCCTATCACTCTAATGGAATTGAGAGCTAGGGCCGCACGATCGAGAGTAAGGTCATGACAATACTGACGAGTTGTTTTCACTGGAGTTCAGGAACCTGCTGAAGGAACTGTGATCACAGCAGAACAAACAAAGACATTAGAAGATTTCAGATTGAAGGATCTCCAAGCCAGAAACTACCTGTTCAACTCCATAGACAAGAGATTCGGAAGGCAATCACCAACAAAGGTACCTCCAAAGAACTATGGGACTCTATGAAAATGAAACACCAGGGTAACACACGAGTTCAAAAGGCTCAGTTGCAAAGTCTTAGGAGGAGTTTTGAAATTCTGGAAATGAAAGAGGGAGAATTTGTCTCAGACTACTTTGGTAGAGTTATGGAAGTTGCTAACTCCATAAGAAACTGTGGTGAATCAATGACAGATGAGAAGATTGTAGAAAATTTTTTAAGGACTCTGACAAAGAGGTTCAATTATGTTGTTTGTTCAATTGAAGAATCAAAAGACATAGAACAACTTTCTGTTGATGCCCTTCAGAGTTCTTTGTTGGTTCATGAGCAGAAGTTTAGTAAGAAACCTGCAGTGGAAGAGGATCAAGTGCTGAAAGCCACTTATGAGCATGGTGGCAGGTGGTAGAGGAAGAGGTTACTACCCTATCAGAGGGAGAGGACGAAGTGGAAGGGGATGGAGCAGAGAAGCATTGGAGTATTTCAAGTGCCATAAGATAGGACATTATAGAAGTGAGTGTCCTGAGTGGAACAATCACTGGAACAATCAGCAGGCGGATTTTTCATCATCATCATCCATGGATATCAAAGATGATGTCTTGCTTATATCTTTGGTAGAGGAAGAAGAAATGGTAGAGGAAAACCCAAATGGGTTGTTGAATATGTGATATGAGAAGCCTGTAACATGAGGAAGAAGTGGAAGGGGTTGGAGCAGAGAAGCAGTGGAGTGTTTCAAGTGCCATAAGCTAGGACACTACATAAGTGAGTTTCCTGAGTGGAACAATCACTGGAACAATCAGCATACACATTTTTCATTATCATATTCATGGATATCAAAGATGATATCTTTCTTATAACTTTGGTAGAGGAAGAAGAAATGGTAGAGGAAAACTAGTATGGGCTGTTGAATATGTGACAGGAGAAGACTGTAACATGATGGCTTTACTAGAGCCACAACAAGAAGCTAATCATGAGGGTTGGTGGTTTCTTGACTCTGGATGTAGCAATCACATGAAAGGAAACAAAGATTGGTTCATAGCCATGGAAGTTGAGAAAACTGGTGTGGTGAAACTTGGAGATGGAACTAAGTTAGAAGTCAAGGGAAAAGGAGCCATCAAAGTTAAGACTGACTTGCAGAGCTTGATTATTCAGGATGTTTTCTATGTGCCGGGACTGAAGACAAACTTGCTGAGCATGGGACAACTGCAGGAGAAAGGTTTGGAGTTTCTACTCAAAGGATATACATGTAGGGTCTTTCATGAGACCAAGGGTCTGCTAATAAAAGTTCCTATGAAGAGCAACAAAATGTTTGTCTTACACTGCGAGTTGCCATGCTTGGAGGTTCAATGCTTGCAGGTTACTGAAACTTATATAGCCAAGTTGAAATTGTGACATAGAAGATTTGGACATCTCAATTACCAGGGCTTGATTGGACTGAAGAGAAGAGAAATGGTAACAGGTCTTCCTACTCTCAAAGGCTCAGCTGGAGTCTGCACCACCTGCCTAGTTGGAAAGCAACATAAAAAGTCTTTCCCAAAGAAGAGTCAATAGAGGGCCTCTCACAAGTTACAGCTTCTTCATGTTGATTTGTGTGGTCCAATCACACCTGTCTCGAATGGTGGGAAGAGGTATGTATTTACACTGATTGATGACTTCAGTAGGAAGCTGTGGGTTTTCTTTCTAGCTCCTAAGTCTGAGGCTTTGAGTGTGTTCAAGAAGTTTAAGATTCACATTGAGAAGGAAGTTAGAACTGGTATATGTTGTCTGAGAACATATAGAGGGGTGAGTTCATGTTGAATGAATTCAAGGAAGTTTGTGAGGAAGCTGGTATTAGAAGACTACTCACTACTGCTTTAAATCCACAGCAAAATGGTGTGGCAGAAAGAAAGATCAGTTTAATTATGAACATGGTGAGGTGCATGTTAGCTGACACCAAAGCACCAACTGGTTTTTGGGCTGAAGCTGTGCTCTAGACCTCCCATGAGTTGAACAGGAATCCTACTGTTGCACATCGGGATGTAAGAGACACAAAAGTGACAAATATTTCATGTCACAATTAATTTTGTCAAAATGGGCATCCCATATAGGGATGCAAGAGACTCAACTGTGACAAACTTCTTTTTGTTAGAACAGTTCGTCATTTAAAGTGAGGAATGCGACAAATATTTCGTGTCACAATTAAGGTTGTCAAAATAGGCATCTCATATCGGGATGTAAGAGATACAAAAGTGACAAATTATATTGTTAGAGTAGTTTTTGTCATATTATACCTTCCTGAATTGTTTAAATGACAAAGTATTTTGTCACAAAAGATAGCAATGATCCCTCGACGAGTTGACAAAAGGGCATGTTCGTCATATTATAGTAGTTTCGAATTTCGACGTTGACAAAAGACGTGTTCGTCATTATATTGGTTTCGTTTTTGACAAAATGTGTTTTCGTTAGATTTGCTTGTGTGAGACTGTAACTTTGTTTCCCTTGAAAAAAAAAAAGAAATTAAAACATTATCCTCCTTACTTGTCTCTCCAAATTCAGCAGTTGTTCAACATCCAAAAAAAAAAAAAATTCACCACCAAAATTTCCGACACGTAGAATGCAAGTTTAGGATAAATTTTGTGTATTTTTTTTTTGTTTTTGTTTTTAAGGGTGATCTAAACAAAACCCTTCCGACTCTTCTCATCCATTCGTAACCCTAGTTTCGCCTCACCAACAAAGCTAGCAGCAGTGGCACCGCTCTTCCCTCCAGACTCCCTTAGTCAGCGGACAACGCGTCTTTTCCTCTCTGCCACGGCATCTTCAGCAGGCGGATCGAGTTCTTCTCCCCGCGTCGTGAATCATCTTCTCTAGATCAAAGCGTCTTCAGCCTTCGACGACTCCACATCGAAGGCTTCTCCAGGCCGGCCGGCGGGCGCGAATTGACGGCTCCAAGTGGCAGTTCTCCAGCGCTTTTTCTTCTCTCGGCGTGAATCGACTGCTCCAGGCCGCCATCTCCATCGCTTCTTCTTCTCATGGCGTGAATCGAATCCATCACTTCTTTTTCTACTAGTGCGAATCGACGGCTGCAGGCCGCCATCCCCCTCTGCTGTCTTCCATCTTCGCTCAGTCGGCTGCTTAGATCTGTGAAAGGTTTCGTTTGCTCTGGCTTTGAATTGTTCCACAGAATTCGTGTAGTTCTGCGTTTGCGAATGTAGGTGAAATGGGGGATATGTTGAATAATGGTAATATAATCATTTTAGTTTTATATTAGTTAAAAGTCAATTTAAATCACGTCTCGATTTTGGAACAGGGCCTCTACAATCTATTAGACAATCCCGCACCCACCTCTCGATCAATTTAGACTATTTTCATTTCTTCATTCAATTTTTGCGCTATATTCATTCTCTTCCATCCAGATTTACTTTCCTCCCTACTAGGGCTTGGAATTTGGTATTGATTTCTTGGTCAAACTAGAAACGAGATCATTTATTCCTATTGTAATCATTTTCCGAGCTTATATTTTTTTTATAATTATTTAATAATTCTTATTTTTAATAAATTTGCGGAGAAAAAATTTTAGGGCCACATTTTACATTTTCGAACAGGTCCTCCGAATATCATGGGACGACCCTGTTTCATTCCTCATCTATGGCAGCCTCTTCCTACGTAAGTGTAGGGGTGAACAAACACACCCGCAAACCGACCCACCCATCCAACCCACCCGTATTTATCGCTAAAATGAAGGTTTTGGGTTGGGTGAGGGTTTTATTTTGTACAACCCGCCTCTTTTGGGTTGGGTTTGGATTTTGGATTACACAAACCATAGAACCCGACCCAACCCGTGTTCCAACTATTAGTATGAGTTCGTATCTAACAAAAAAAAATTATGTCGTACATAGCCATACTTATGAGAAAATTAAGATATTTTGTCATGTTTTTCTCTCATGGTCTCCATAATCTGATGATCTGATGCATTCATCGACTTAAAGTTTAGACATAAATTGAATATAGTTATGATTCATGTAATCCTTTTTCTTGTGTACAATTTTAATAGAATTACATATTATGGTTTATATTTTTTTAGCCTATTTCAACATATATAGTGAAAAAACTAGACATATGTTGAAGTAAATCAAATTTCATTAAAATTCAAACAACATTTGTGAATTTTGATAACTTTCACCTAGGTTTATTCGTTTGAAATTTTATTTAGTTATAAAATATTTTTATATTGTAAAATAATTGTATATTTTATGTTGGGTTGGGTTTTTACTTAAAAGTATCGCCAACCCGACCCAACCCAATTAGAAATAAACCTTAGGGTTTAATTTTTTGGGTGGGTTTGGGTTTGATATTTTCTAAACCGTAGTGCATGGGTTGGGTGATTAAAATGGCTAAACCCGAACCACCCAACCCATGTACACCCCTAGGTAAGGGGATCAGCTGAAATGGCTACCATGGCACATCATTATGTGTCTGTCATGTAACTGAGGTCATAACCAGCAAGGTGTGCTGGTGACTTTCTGATTCTAGGACCCAGCTCAGTGCTTGGTGGAAGTCCCAACACATCAGTATTACCTTCCTCATCATCTTCCTCCTCTCCTGCTAGTGTGACAGGGGCATTTGGTGTTGTTGGACTATGAGGTTCTTCATCTTGTGTTGCATCTGCAACAACTTCTGAATCTCCCTCTTCTTGTTCCTCAACATCAGAATCATACCAGGCCTCCTCAGTACCTTCACAATACACTTTAGTTAGCACAGATTGCACTTCAAGATTCCAGGTCCAGCCTTGATTTTCATCAAATTCTACATCTCTGCTAACCTCTATCTTCTTAGTGCTTGGATTGTACAGCTTGTATGCCTTGGACTCAATAGAAAAACCCAAGAATATATAAGGAAAGCTCTTATCATCGAGCTTCTTTCTCTGTTGATCAGGAATATGAACATGGCCAACAGATCCAAACACTCTAAAATGATCAACTGAAGGAGGATGGCCTGTCCATAACTCCCGAGGAGTCTTATTCTAATGTGCAACAGTAGGACTCCTGTTCAACACATGGGAGGTCTAGAGCACAGCTTCAGCCCAAAAACCATCTGGTGCTTTGGTGTCAGCTAACATGCACCTCACCATGTTCATAATTGTCCTGTTCTTTCTTTTTGTGATAGAAACAAGGTTCTATCAGATTTGATATTTGGGAATTAGGGTTTATACGAACAGAATTAGGGATTGAGACTGAGATTAGGAGAGGAAGAACATAATAAAGAATCGGCCGAAGCCTTGGACTAGGCAAGAAGAGAAACTAGGAGATAGGGAGGCCTTAGGGTTTGGGAAGATAATTATTTAATTGATTTCTGCTTAATCGAAAGAATGACGCAAAGTGCATATTTATAGCTAAAGATTGGAAAAAAAATAATAGACTATCCTAACATGACTCAAACACTTAATAATAAAAACCTTTATAATAATAATAGTAATTATAGAAACCGTAGATTTCTATCATCTCCTCCCCCTTGAGACCAACCTTGCCCTCAAGGTTGACCGACTCGGTCCATTTCTTCCAACTTTTTTGCCTAATCCGCTCGACACTTCTCCGCTTTCTTCTCTTCCAATTATGTTCCATTCAAGTTATTGAGCCCAATCCATATAAAAGCAATCCAAGCAAATATCCCATATGAGGTCCTAGCTCACTTTGAAAAATCAGTCCATCTTCTTTCTTAAACCTGTTTGCTGCTTTCTTGGGCAGCCCACGACTAAGTCTTAAGTTGGCCCAATTTTCCCTTAGACTTGGCCCGCTCCCCTGGTCAATTTGGCTTGTGTAGAGCCCAGCCTTCTCTTCTTCCATTCCAAACCCACGATCGAAATTTCTTTGTGCTTCCTCCTCCAAACAATCCACTCTTTTTGGCCCAACCACCCCCTCAATTTTTGGCTCACACTGCTACTTTTCTAGGAGCAAAGAGAATCCAACCCACTTCTTTGCCTGCCTTCTTCCAAAAAGTGACCCACTTGATTGGGCCCATTAGTACGAGCAACAGACATCCCAATTGGAGTTGGCTGCTTTGTGGAGCACCCTAGGGTTGAGTGGAGAAGAAACATGCCGCCGCCAACCTCCTCCTTCGTCTTCCCCTTCCTTGTCGCGCCGCCAGCGGTCGTCATCTCCTTTTGAGTCAACGAGAAGACCATCCAGCAGCTACGAGGTCTGCCGAGTTCCTTTCCCGCCCTCGGCTCCTCGTCGTCCGGCCTTAGCTCCGACTTCGGTTTCCTCGTCACAGTCAACGCCACCCTGAGAGAAGCCTCACTGCTGGCCTCCGAAGCTCCCCCGAGATCCTCGACTTGCTCTCCTGCCGCCGAGCACCGAGGGGCAACGCCCTCCGACGCCGACCGCGCTGTCGCGCCTGAATCCGCGAGTGGGGTTTCCTCCGCCACTGGCGCAGCCCACCCACGGTCACGTGCCTCCAGTTTGAGCTCGGCTAGCGTGTACTCTATCTGCTGTCGTACGCGAGCCCATTCCAGATCGGAGAGCATTGATGAGCCCATGTTGGATCTAATACCAAATGATAGAAACAAGGTTCTATAGGATTTGATATATGGGAATTAGGGTTTATACGAATAGAATTAGGGATTGAGATTGAGATAAGGAGAGGAAGAACAAAATAAAGAATCGGTCGAAGCCTTGGACTAGGCAATAAGAGAAATTAGGAGATAGGGAGGGCTTAGGGTTTGGGAAGATAGTTCTTTAACTGATTTCTGCTTAATCGAAAGAATGACCCAAAGTACATATTTATAGCTAAAGACTGAAAAAACCTAATAGACTATCCTAACATGACTCAAACACTTAATAATAAAAACCCTTATAATAATAATAGTAATTATAGAAACCGTAGGTTTCTATCATTCTGCCACACCATTTTGTTGTGGAGTTAAAGCAACACTGAGTTGTCTTCTAATCCCAGCTTCTTCACAAACTTCCTTGAATTCATTCAAAATGAACTCACCCCCTCTATCTGTTCTCAGACAACATATACCAGTTCTAACTTCCTTCTCAATTTGAATTTTAAACTTCTTCAACACACTCAAAGCCTCAGATTTATGAGCTAGAAAGAAAACCCACAGCTTCCTACTGAAGTCATCAATCAGTATAAATACATACCTCTTCCCAGCATTCGAGACAGGTGTGATTGGACCACACAAATCAGCATGAAGAAGCTATAACTTGTGAGAGGCCCTCCATTGACTCTTCTTTAGGAAAAACTTTCTATGTTGCTTTCCAACTAGTCAGGTGATGCAGACTCCAGCTGAGCCTTTGAGAGTATGAAGACCTGTTACCATTCCTCTTCTCTTCAGTCCAATCAAGCCCTGGTAATTGAGAAGTCCAAATCTTTTATGCCACAATTTCAACTTGGCTATATAAGTTTCAGTAACCTGCAAGCATTGAAACTACTGGCATGACAGCTCACAGTGTAAGCCAAACATTTTGTTGCTCTTCATATGAACCTTTACTAGCAGACCCTCGGTCTCATGAAAGACCCTGCATGTATTTCTTTTGAGTAGAAACTCCAAACCTTTCTCCTGCAGTTGTCCCATGCTCAGCAAGTTTGTCTCCAGTCCAGACACATAGAAAGCATCCTAAATAATCAAGCTCTGCAAGTCACTCTTGACATTGATGGCTCCTTTTCCCTTGACTTCTAACTTAGTTCCATCTCCAAGTTTCACCACACCAGTTCTTGCAACTTCCATGGCTATGAACCAATCTTTGTTTCCTGTCATGTGATTGCTACATCCAGAGTCATGAAACCACCAACCCTCATTATTGGCTTCTTGTTGTGGCTCTAGTAAAGCCATCATGTTACAGGCTTCTCCTGTCACATATTCAACAGCCTCATTCTGGTTTTCCTCTACCATTTCTTCTTCCTCTACCAAAGCTATTAGCAAGACATCATCTTTGATATCCATGGATGATGATGATGATGAAAAATGTGTCTGCTGGTTGTTCCACTCAAGACACTCACTTCTGTAGTGTCCTAGCTTATGACACTTGAACACTCCACTGTTTCTCTGCTCCCGTCCCTTCCACTTCGTCCTCTCCCTCTGATAGGGTAGTAACCTCTTCTTATACCACCCCTGCCACCATGCTCATAAGTGGCTTTCAGCACTTGATCCTCTTCCACGGCAGGTTTCTTAGTAAACTTCTGCTCATGAACCAACAAATAACTTTGAAGGGCATCAACAGAAAGCAGTTCTATGTCTTTTGATTCTTCAATTGAACAAACAACATAATTGAAGATCTCTGTCAGAGTCCTTAAAATCTTTTCTACAATCTTCTCGTCTGTCATTGATTCAGCACAGTTTCTTATGGAGTTAGCAACTTCCATAACTCTACCAAAGTAGTCTGAGATAGATTCTCCTTCTTTCATTTCCAGAATTTCAAAACTCGTCCTAAGACTTTGCAACTGAGCCTTTTGAACTCGTGCATTACCCTGGTATTTCATTTTCATAGAGTCCCATAGTTCTTTGGAGGTACCGTTGTAGGTGATTGTCTTAAGAATCTCTTGTCTATGGAGTTGAACAGGTAGTTTTTGGCTTTGAGATCCTTCAATCTGAGATCTTCCAGTGTCTTTGTTTGTTCTGCTGTGATCACAGTTCCTTCAACAGGTTCCTGAACTCCAGTGAAAACAACTCATCAATACTCTTTGGACCTCAGAAGATTCTCCATAAGCATGCTCCAGTGCTCATAATCCCCATTAAACTTGAGGATACAAGCTTGAGCAAAGCCACCATCACCCATCCTGTTCTTGTCTCTCACCCTGATCGAAACTCACTTTTCTCTCGGGTTTCCCAACCCAGAAAACAAACAATTTCGCTCTTTCTATCTCTCTGTGCTTGACAGCAACTCACTCTTTCTTCAAGCTTGAAAGCTTCTGCAAATTTTGGTTACGGTTTACTTTCGAGCTCTAATACCACAATGAAGACTCAAATGTATTGTAAACTGACACTTTTATCAGAAAGAACAAACTGAACCATAAATACACAGATTCAGTCTGCAATCTTGGTTTCCTACTAACCATGATTGACTCCACGATCCTAAAAACTAGCTAACAAAATCTGTACAACACGATGGACACCAATGCAACTCTAAAGACATAAATAGACTTTAATGAACACACTTAGAATTTTAGTGACTTAACTGTAAAATACCAAACCACATAAACGACACAGCATTGACTCAATTTAAAACCCTGCCTTCCTTCGCGCCACAACTACTCCTTCTGCTCTGCGGATTCCTTCAGCAGCCCGGATTCGAGACTTCTTCCAACAAAAATATGTATAACAAAAACTAAAAAGTATGTTTTAGCAAACCCGACCTGAAATAGGTTAGAGTTCGCCCTTCATGCGCCGGCCCTGTCCCGGGATGTTGATCAGGTACGGGATCCCGTTGGGTCCGATTACAAGCGGGTGCGGCTATTGGGTGACGCCGGCAGCGATGACAGTCGCGCTTCAGCGTGCCGTAGGTGAAGATTATGGAGCCCATTTGGCAGAGGACGACAGTGGCTGAGTGGAAGAAGAAAATGCGATGAGGAAGATGAAATCGTTGGCTGTGGTTGGCGATTTCAGCGTATGGTGTGGTGGTGGATTGTATCTTTATATGAGTTATGGGATATACTTTTTTACGATAGTTATGGGTTGGACCTGCTATTGGGCTTTCCGTTGCATGCTTGTCAAGCCCGTTGTGGTTTCTGCGGGTCAGTTTCAAGAGCATTTCACTCTCATCAATTTCCTCTATCAACCAATCTATTTTTTTTTCACGTAACCTCATTCAAAAAGGAGGGGGAACTCCCTTCCTTATCATATCAAAAGAAAAAAATATGTTGCATTTATACTTAATTAAAAAAAATCTAAATTAATATGCATTCTTAGATGAGAAGAACCTTCAAAGGAAATACATCTGTTTTCTCCAAGATCTCATTCTCCAAATTACACTTTAGTTCCAATTCAGAATAATCCTATGGATGTTATCTCTGGACAATGACTTGAAATCAAACATCGCGAGATACTATGAACCAAATATATCATGATCCTCTAGAGGTTGAACTGGGAAGGAACCCTAGCTGGGTGTGACGTGGTTTAATGGCTGCTAAGGATCTGGTAAAACGAGGTTTAAGGTGGAGAGTGGGCAATGGGAACAAAATAGATATCTGGCTTGACAGGTGGATACCTTCCAGTACCACTTTTAAAGTTACTTTCCCAACAGTTCATTGGGGTAACTCAACCTCTGTAGCTGAATTGGTGGACATTGAGACCAGAAGATGGCGTGTAGACCTACTCCATACCCATTTCATCCCCACGGATTGCACTAACATTCTAAAAATTCCTATTCCAAGACAACCAATCGAGGATAGGAGGATATGGGGGAAGGAAAAAACGGGGGAGTATACTGTGAAGTATGCTTACAGACTATGGGAGGATAGGAACATTGATGAAGAGGGTGAATTTTATTCGCTAGTTAACTGGAAGAAGGTCTGGAACCTTCATATTCCTCCAAAGGTGAAGGTGTGTGCTTGGAGATGGCTGAGAAACATTATACCTACAAGGCCTCGAATCCTAAAACGCACTCAACAAGGCAGCGAAGATTGCCCTTTCTGTGGCCTAATGGAAACAGAAGAACACATTTTTCGAGAATGTGCTTGGGCTGGTAGGGTCTAGCGATACAACACGTTGGGTTCATACATAGATAGAGGGGAGAATCTTACCTCGGAGGAGTGGATCTGTGATCTGCAAGAGACTGAATCCGACGAACAACTCGGGTCGTTCTTGGTGGGTCTCCAGTACATCTGGGATCATCGAAACTGTCATATGTGAAATAAGAAGAAATTGGAGGAATGGGAAATTCTGGCTCGAGCTAGTGAGTGGTTGAAGGATTACCTAGAAAAGAAGAGGAAGTTCCAACCAGCGGAGCGAATGGAGGGGCAGCGGTGGAAACCTCCGATGATGGGGTCAGTGAAGCTCAGTGTCGATGTTGCATGCTTCGAGGGCCAAAGAACGGGGTGGGTAGTGGTGGCGAGGGATGCAACTGGACAATTCCTATTTGGAGTTGTGAAGAGATCACAGATTCAATGGAACCCGAAAGAAGCAGAAGCGCTGGCGGTGGATGTCGGTTTAGAAATGGCGAGAAGAAGGGGAGTTGGGGAAATGGAAATCGAATCAGACTGCCAGGGAATCATCCAGCAGCTAACGGGAGGAGGAAAGGGAAACGGAAGTCGGGCTGGTTTGTGCGTAAATACGGGCCAAAGCCCAGACCTTGGGTGGAGTCAGGTGGGGTTTTGTGGGCCGAGACAGGAATAAACCGACCCATTTGATGGCCCATTTTGATTGTAGTTGGGAGAGTGAAGAGGTGTGGGTTGATAGCCCACCTCATTTTCTTGTACCTCTTCTAAGAGAGGATTTCACTGAAAACTTTGTGTCTCATGGTTAATTAGATGAATACAGTTTTTCCTATTAAAAAAATATATATCAGTGATAATGTATTGTGTGTTTAAATCGTTATTTAACTTTGAACGAAACCATTTTATATCGACTTGTAAAAATAAAAACTATTTTATATCGATAAAATGCTACAACGTTTTGGGTTCTGCTAAGCAGGTTTTCTAGTCAGATTGTCAATACTGTATGATTTAACATACATTACTTAAAATATGTATATTACGAACTAAGAAAATGTGTTTAGCAACAACAAGCACTAAGGAAGTGTCGTCCACAACCTAAAGAAACACAACATTTGATTAACCTTTTTAGTATAATGATTCAAATTAACGAAACCCTAAATTACACAACTACTTAGTTCAAATGCTTTATCCTCTCTAAACCATTTACAATAACTTCTCCAAATCTAAATAGGCACTACTATAGTACTACTGCTGCAAATCTTCAGGATCCAGTGGTACTAATTCCTCGTCGCCGAGCTCCAACGTCCTTGTGAAGTATCGCACAAACCTTTGCAAGCGTGGTAGGATAAGGAACCCTAGCATGCCTCGACTCCAGCCTCTCCGCCACTTCCGAGTCAACGAAACTTCCACGGAAACCCTCGAGACTCGCCGCATCCGCCGCCGCAACATCGTAGAACTCGCCGTAACGCTCGAAGAAGAGCTGTCGAAGGATCCAAAGCTCGAGGAGATCGGGGCAACGTGGGGTGGCGAACGCCAACGTGGAGACCGCCTTGTTGATCTCCCTAGGGCAGTCCACGTGGCGGCGTATGTAGGTGAGATTGGCCTTGACGACGTCGCACGAATGGTACAGCAATTCGAGGATCCGGATCGCGTTCTCGTCCCTCACTATCTGCTCCGCGGCACCCACGTCCCCATCGTCTACGAACCGAGCTATTCTGCCGGTACGGTCCTGGACCCGTTTTTCCGTTTCTTTCTTCAGGTTTCTCAGTCGGCTTTGCAGCTGCTTCACCGCCATCTCGCATGTAGAACCGTTCCTCCAGCCCCCACCGCCTCGGAAGAAGCCGGTGATCATTGCTTCAAACTTTCCCCGACGGCTGCTTCCGGCGGGCACCTTCGCGACACTCGTCAACATTATGATTAATGAGACTTTGGTAGAGTACGTTGAAGGAAAAGGCAACTGATCGAGAGAAAGCGAACTTTGTTGTTTAATTTGTTTCCTTTTTGAGCTAGCTGGAGGAGATTGGCGTACGTGTTTATATAGGGGAGGAGGGACCTGAGATAGCCTTGCTCGACTAGGATTAGGAAAACCTTTTAATGGTCGGAAACAAATTAATTACCACTTTCTTATCCGAGCTGGCCGGCTAGTATTATTAGTACGTTAAGTGTGGTGTATTAGGACTCGTACGTAGCCCATGCATGCACTAGCTAGTTGCCGTGTTATGAGCTAGGGTTTTCCCTTTGTATATATTGATTGCCCTCTAACAGAGTGTGAGAAAGTACTCAAGCTGAATATAAGATATCTTATCGCAATCGACAGTAGTATTGGAACCACGTAAATCAGGGATGATAATTTGAACCCAGGCATTATCTGACCTGACTCGTGATGGGATGCGTATTACCCGACCTATAGTAGCGTGGAGCCAGTGGCGGACCCAGAATTTTGGGATAGATATGTCAGCCAATAAAATTAGATTAAAAACTAATTAATTAACATTAATTAATTTAAAATAAATAGACAAATTTTATTCATAAATTTCACCAATTTTATTATTTCTTACAGTGAACCACGACGAGTTTTCATATTTTGAAAGATTTCTTAATTACATTTGTCCATTAGGTTGCAAATCAAGTATTTTGTATGTAAAAAATTAAACAATTATTCATAAACTGGTCACTCAACTTACACCAAAGATTGTTCTCGATTAAACTCATATGGTAAATTTCATTTTGTCGCTTGCAGTTGCAAGAGGTAAAGTCAATACTAATTTAAGATGAGAAATTGGGTATGAGAAGCTCGAAGGGTGGCCACATGTGTGAACGTGGAAATTTGAATGAGCATGAGGATGTCGTTGGCTCAACGCCGACGATTGAAGGGTGGCTAAAGGCATCAATGTGGAAATAAATAACTAAACCAGAAAGTAAGTTGAAAATTAACTTAAAGAAAAATCTATGGAAGAAGCAATGGGGAAAGACAGCCTGAAATTCACTATCTAATTATTTGACTCAACCAGCTTATTAATCAATTTAATTCTCATTCAAATTATCGATGTTGTCTCTATGTGGATAACTATCTTTCTAAATACTCACTACGTACTAAGTAGTTAATTAATTTTTACTCTTATGCAACCAACTAATTAACTACCGAATCTGAAGTCCGATAACTCTTGTATTTATATATTTTAATAAAATTATGACAACATTTTTTTAATGTAATAAGGTGTGTCGGTTAAAATTATTGAAGGTGTGTCGGAGGTCCCATATTCAAATTTCGTACACTAAAAAATTGTGGGTTCTTCACAAAAACTTCGAACCAAGGTGTGTCGGGTGACACACCATGGACAAAGGTGGGTCCGCCCCTGCGTGGAGCGGAGTATGGGTATCTACTTCTGACTCCATGCCCCGCCCTGCCGATTTCTCGGCCCATTCTATCTATATTTATGTATTTATATTTCTCATATTTTGACTTTTTTCAACTAGTTAAACGATATAGATTTGATCTTTTAACTAGTTAGACTTAGCTACCCATTCTATTATCACTAATTTTCATTCATAAACGTAAATTTGTTAATCTTTATTGTTTTCAGCGACAGCTCACATGTATCGTAACATCTATATGGGTTATACCTGTGGTGCTATCGTGATATGGTACCTGTAGAGGTCATTCGGATGGGAAATTTTAATAACGAGCGATTTGAATCGAAATCTCACGATTTAAAATACCTCAGAATGTATACATGGGATTTGTGACAAATATAGTGGTTGTTGAGTGGAAGAAGAAATGTCACGAGGGGATGAAATCGTTGGTTAATTGTGGTTGGCGTGTGGTGGTGTGTTATATCTATATACGGATCATGGGCCGGACTTAATATTGGGCTTTTCGTTGCATGCTTGTCGAGGCCGTTGTTGTTCCTGCGGGTCAATTTCAGGATTTCGTTGTGGCCTCTCTTGCTAAATTCAATGCCACTTCTAGGTCGCGAATGTTTCTAGCCGAGTTCGATGTACCTCCTTTCCTCCAATGAACAAACATATGTCTGGCGCATCGCAGGTGATTGTACAACTGAAATTGTAGGGATCCCATACTATTTTGATTCCACACATATTTTAGTAATAATAGAGCTTCTGGGTTGCCTAACCATCGACTATCAAAATAGAAAATACGACGTCCTTATATGAGATTATCTTCAATAGAGAAAGCAATGATGCAATGATCAGAGCTGAGATCGACAAGATGTCGTACATTAGTTAATGGCCAAAGGGCAACCCAATCTGTAGAAACTAGAGCTCGGTCTAAACATTGTTCGATAAGAACTCCGTTTCTCCCACGATTGGTCCAAGTGAACGGGGAGCCTGAGTATCCAATATCTACCAATCCAAGTTCTATCATAAAATCTTGTAGTGGTCTCACCTTTACCATTTTCCAAGGAGCCCCTCCCCTTTTTTCTATGGGTGAAAGAGTACAGTTGAAGTCGCCAATTATCAAGTATGGATCAGACAAACACTGACAAAATCCCATTAGGATCTGAAGTTGATTTGTACGAGTTGCAATCTCATAACTTAAATAGACTCCAATTAGAACTATATTATTAGAACATCCATAAAGAGAACCGTTACTATTATTAATAGCAATGGCAATGAAAAATTGGGTTGAGCCAATTACAGAGACCGAGGGAACTCCTGGCCATGCGAAAGCAAGACCACCAGAGAGCCCTATAGAATCTACGGCATGAACAGAGGAAATACCTAACTTTTTTAGGTATTTCATCGAATTTTCCTTAGTTGTCATAGTTTCGGAGAGAAATAGAAATGACTCTGATACATTGTAAAGCTTTCTAAGACTTTTCCTTGTGAGAATGCTTCCTATTCCTTGGCAATTCCAGGCATATAGAAGCATGTTGTGTATGGTAAATGAAGTACAAAGATAGTTTTGACAATGGAAGCCTAATATAGACCAGCTTCGGGTTGTACGATAATAGCTGAGATGAATTAATATCCCAAAATTGTCACCAAGAACGTATTATTAGATAAAATTCTTAGAAGGCCATGCACTGGATGTGGCCAATGTTATAGTTAAGGGTTGGAAGTAGGAATCCAATCCCAATATTAAATTAGAAGAATTTGTTATTCAGGAGGAGAATATGCTAAAACTGAGTAATTCCAATAAGAAATCTGGTTTCTTTCCCAACCGTAAACTTGAAGGGCAATTTACAAAGGTTGATACCAACTAAGAATAGTGAGAAAATTGGAAGATTAGTCTCACGAGGGGGAGGTTCACGGTAAGACATTTCAAAAATGAGAATTAAATCTCATTAGGCGGCTAAAGGCCTACCGAAGGTTCCAATAAACAAGATACCAAATTCAAGCCATACGGCGTTAATACAAGCCAAATTGAGTAGCTTCTTGTTGTTTCGATAAATCAGCGTAGATAGAGTCCAGGAAGAAGAGAGGAAACTAGAAAGAAGAAGAGAGAGACTCTTAAGTTCCACAGCGAGGGCGGTGGAATGAACATGCAAAGAGGAGTTATTGAACTTTTTTTTTTTTTTTTTTTAAGGGAATGTTGAGCTTGTCCTACCTGCGAGTTGTCTTATGTCCACAAGTTTAGTTGTGATAGAGCTCAAGTAAGCTCATACTAGTTAAGAAGAACTAGTGGTAGATAGAAATTGTATATATATATGAGATAGCTTTGGCTAATTTAAAAGGACGTGATTAAATAACTATAGTTTCGAGGGCTACATTCTAACTCACTCCAACTCACCATAGTTGATAGTTGGATCCAATTTTATGATAGCTAACTTAGCTCACAATAACCGACTTTGACCGTAAATCAGTCCAGCTTGCTGACACTTTAGTCTTCATCATCTTTTTGTTCTTTCTTTTTTAAGGTTCTTATCCCTATGTTTATGTTTCCTTTTGCTTACGCTTTTTACTTTCTGTTTGCCTATATGGTTGTTCAAAACTTGCCTTAGCCCTTATGGATGGAGAAAAACCATGTGAAGACTCTGATAAATGATGCATGCACAAGTGGAAATATGCAGAGAGCACTGCTCGTGTCTTAATTTGGAAACAGCCATTGATACATCCACATCGTTGAATTGATATTTGTATATCCCCAGTCAAATGATGGAGCAGCTAGCTAGCTAGCAGTCAAGAAGAAGAAGACCTTGTTGTTTCTGAAAAACAAAATACAAGGCCAGGACAGGCCAGGACAGGAAAGTAGGTAGGGGCAGCCATATCCTTCCCTGAACAATTTTAACCAGTGTTATTAAAGCCGAGCGGAGCCGAACCGCTCGGCCCGACCGGTAAAACCGTCATCGGTCACAAAATCGGCTCGGAACAGTCTAAAAGCCGCTCCGGTTTTGTGTAGCGGTTGACGAGCGGCCGAGGTGGTTAGCCAATCGAGCCGCTCGTCCGGTTTTTGTCATTCAGCCGTTAAATTTAATTAAAAAAAATTGCAGAAAATTGAAAATTAAAATAAACCAATAACGTCTGGCTCTCAAACTGAATCCTTATTTCCATTTCACAATTTCGAAGGAAAGAGACGAGCTCTGATTAAGAAATGTCTACTATTTATACCGATAACGTTTATTAGGTACCGGTTCTCTAACGGTTTTTTAAACGGTCTAATGCCGGTTGGACCACTAAAGTGCGAGTCGTTCGTATTATCGGGTCATACTCCGGTTCTGTTCCGACAACATTGATTTTAACACATTTAACACCAACAACAATATATAGCAGCCATGTGGAGGCAAGATCATTTCAGGCAGGCTTCCAGAGTCCAGACTGATATATAAAAACAAGATGGGTTAGGCAAGATCATAACGTCAACTCTGCTTAATTGCTTGGAAAGATTTGAACTTTTATGTCTGATTATGTTGACCCGGGCGACATGGGTTCCTTTCCTGATTGGAGATGAGAAACCGAGTGACAAGTAGTCCATTGAACCGCCACAATCAATGGCGCAGTTATGCATATCCCAACTCCAACTAGAAGAAAGCCAATCGAAGTAAAGGAGTCGGTTTTTTCACGAAACAGAGAGTGGAGGGGAAAAGTCGCATCTTGAAGCCTTTGTTTTCTGTGTAGAAAGCTGGCAAAGAGATGGGAGGAGAGAGAGGTAATGAAGAACATGGATAGAACATAGCATGATGCTGCCATGTGATTTGGTCTTGGTTTGTCCTGGCTAATTAGTCTTATGGTAATGATTATACTAATGTGATTCACAGCTCAAGTTGATCAGATGTTAATCAGAGGTGGAGATCAGATCGAGCAATGAGATTAAAAATACCCAAAAATTTAGAATAATCAAAGAGTCATCTTGGTTATGATCTTATCCAGTATCCATTGAACCTGCAGCTAGTTGAATTAATTAATCAAATAATAGCCCTTCCAATTAACTCAATAACAAAATTAATGATAATGAAAGAAAGCGACTTTTTTTTTTTGTTAATGAAGGAAAAAAAACAAAACAAAAAATGGAATGGGCCGCGACAGATCCAGATAAATAATGGTGATTCTGTAGCAGCAAAAGCATGCCCATGAGCCCAGCAACCAGCCCAGCCCAGCCCAGCCCAGCAGCAGCTTGACGAATGACGAGATCCCAGCTTTCTTTGCCTCGGCGCCATAATTTGGTTATTTGCTTCTTCTTTTTTTTTCCTTTTGCGGTGTTAAAAGAGAAATTGGGGACCGGCCTTTGGCTTTTAACAACCAACCTTGTTAAAGCTGTCAACTGCTCCCAACTGTACCACCTACTCCACAGCCAAGCAAACTGTCTTTGTAATATCAGTTTAATCATCATAAAATCATCTTTTTTACTTTTACTTTACACACCCGACTTAAAATAATCTTTTACTACCCTCCTTTCCAAGCAGTAAATAATCAAATTAACTTGGTCAAATTCATGCAAAGAAAGCACACATATGATCATTCATCTCCCACCCAATTGGCCAGCTGGCGAGAGCAGGGCCCACCACTACAACCCAATCAGGAAGGCACGTGACACAAACGATTCTCTCTCGTTTGGACACGATTTATCTTTTAACCCTAATCCCTGAACCCTAAACAAACAATATCGGGGAAATACACATATATACACAGTATGCGTGTTGGTTATATTACAGAGCCAATCAATCGGAATTGATAATCATATGTACAAGCGCCAGAGAAGAGGACGGACGGGATCATGCATGTGGTTAACCGCGAATTGCAGGTTTAACGAACTGTACATAACCTATAATAAAGTTCAGCAAGGATTTGACATTTCTTTTATGATTGATTACCGGAGGTAGGAGGATGGGCCACCATGGGTGGTGGTTTGGAGATGATGGGCCCCGCCGGCGAGTACATCGCCGGCATCCCCATCGCCGCCGCCGGATGATGATGAGATTGGTGGTGCGCGCCCCCGTAGTACTGGTACACCGGGTAGATTGGCATCATTGTATTTCCTCCGGACCCCATCATCCCCGTGTAAACCTGATGATGACCGTACTGCCCGCCGCCGCCCATGTACGCTCCTCCGGCACCGGCGCCGCCGTAGCTCAACTTCTGCACGCGCCCAAAACGCATTAGCCCTCTGAACCATTTCTTAATTAAATTTAGGTAATAGTATTAGTAGGTACACCCATAAATACCTGATTGTAGCCCATATCGGTTGCAATGTAAGTCGGATTGTACCTGATTATTACACGAATAGAAGGAAAGATAAAAAAAAACCTAGATTAGTAGCTGAAATGGATAAAGATCACGATCGGAGTCAGTTTCGGATCCGGATACGGGTCGGGTCGAAAAATAATTTACCCGTAGAAAGGGACGGCGGCGTGGTGGTGAGAGAAAGCAGCAGCGGCCGTTGTCGCCGGTGCCGCAGCTGGATAGTACCACTGAACTTGATGGTGATTGGCTGCTCCTACCGCTGACGTGGACCTCACCCCGCCGTTGGATCCTTCATTGATCACCGAAAGGGAGAAGAAGAAAAAAGTTAATTACAATTAGGAAAAGAAGTGTGATTCAATTAATCAAGCATTTCGTGGCCCATCACAAGCAGTTCGGCTATTTGTCCAGCATTTGATTACTTTGTAAGCTATCATTAGCTGAAATTAATCAAGCGTAATTAATGCGGTAATTAGCAACGGTTATTTACCTTGTCGATTGTGGTGGTGGTGATGCGGAAGCGGCGGCGGAGTGGTGGAGGCGGGAGGGGCGGCGGCGGACCTCTGCTGCTGGCGGCGAGCGCCGAGGGAGGCGAGGTTGCAGTTCGCGCGGCGGCCGTTGATGACCGGAGAGGCGTCCTCGCAGGCTTTCTTCGCGGATTCAGCTTCCTTGAAAGTGACCTGCGCCGTCGTGATTTTTAATTGATTAGATGAAGAATGAATTGGGGGGGAATTGGAATTCAAGTTGGGGGATTAGGGATTTGGGGGGGAATTTACGAAGCCGTAGCCCTTGGATCGGCCGGTGAGCTTGTCGGAGATGATGACGGCCTCGAGGATCTCGCCGTACTTCTCGAAGTGGTCGCGCATCGTGTCCTTGGGGGTTTCCCACGCCAGCCCGCCGACGAAGACTTTGGTCAGCGTGGTGTCGCCGAACTGCTGACCAGCTCCCTGACCGGGGTTGCTGCTCATGGTCATGATCGTGGAAACTGCTCCGGCGGGTTGACGGAGGAGGACGGAAGAAGAGAGATTGTGATTTATAGAGTGGAAAGGGGGAAGGGAGGAAGAAGGTTGAATATTTAGAAAGGGAACAACAATATTGCAGACAACACAATGCCAGTGAGGCAGACAGTCTGCCAGGTCATTCTTTTATATTATTATTATTTATTTATTTAGTAGGGTTAAGGGTGTGTGATTATATCGATCTCATCAACGTAATTATACTTTTGCTGCCTCCCTAATTTTATCTTTTTGCATAAGGCTAGGGATGGCAACAAAACTCGAACCCACGGGTACCCATCCGACCCAATCCGGTCAACGAGGGTAAAATCCGTGTTGATGGGTTTTGAGTCGGGTTCGGGTTTAAACCCGCTACACTATTCACCGGGTCGGGTTAAGTTTGGGTTTAGGTAAACCCGACCCATGGGTACCCGCCCACACACATATAATTACTTTCCCGGTATATTTAGTATTCTAAATAATATATTTTCCTTAAACAATTAATATTCTTTATGTTTGTGGAGACATGTATAATTTGTTTTTTCTAATTGTTTAGAATGAAGTTGATATTATGAAGTGAAGAGTGAAGAAACGTAGTTGACGAGGAAGAAGCTTTCAATTAATCTTTTATTTATAGATGTTTATCTTTAATTTTGAACAATTTGTATTGATCATTTGCGGTTTGCTTGTATGCTCTAGATTGGAGTTTTTTTTTATGATTAATTTGTATAAGAAAATTGATGTTAAACTTTTATTTTGAAAGAAACTTGTTATTGTAAATAGAGATTTTTTTTTTCATTTTTTAACGAATTATGTACAATGATGTGTTATCATCTAAGAAAAAACTTGTAGGCAACTGTTTTATATATACTAGCTTTGTACCCGGCCGGGCGAGTTTCATTTGGTTATTTTTGTTAATTAAGCAAAATTTTATATTTAATTTATTTTGGAATTTTCCTATTTTCGTACATTCTTTACAATAATTTGTTCTCCAATATGTGGCTTTAATATTGATCTAAGAAAGGTTGAACTATTTCCTTCGCCTAACTTATCAAGCAACAATTTTGTGCTTCTACCATAGTCAATGTATGTTTTAAAGTTAGTTACTCAACTCTTAATTGAGAAAAATTAAATGCCGCCTAAACTCCTAAATCGATCATAGACATATGTTGAAAATCCTCATAATTTATTGTGGTTATTTATGACGATTTAATTCTATAATATTAACTTTTGTAAACAATCTAATATTAACTCATGCTTTTGACATTGACTGGTTAAACGGTTCTAAAAAAATAAAATGGTGAATCATGAAGTGCCAATATAAGTATTTAGGTAAGAACATTTATCCACCAAAAATCCATAATATTGAACTAATATGTTCAAAAGAAAAATATTGAAACTAATTATCTCATCCAATATCCTATACGGCTATACTATTGAATAATCTGGTCCAGTAAAAAAAGGCTTGAGAATGGTTTCATTATTTTATTTTTTTTGTTAACTTTCATTAAATTTTTTCCCTTAACAGAAACATAATATGCCACATATGCCCAAAAACAAAATCAAATCATCCCATTTAAATGAATAAGTGCTTATTTAAAAAAACAACACGAATTTTTTTATAAATAAATAAAACCACGTGATAAAAAATGGGGATCAAGATTTGCAGTTCCAACTTCCACTTCCACTTCCACCAAAAAGAATTCGTTGTATTCCTGCCGAAAAATTGAGTGCAGGCAAAAGCTGCCTATTAAAGCAGAAAAAAAAGGAAAAAGAATCATAATTCCGAAATTCACGGGGAAGCCTCCAACGCTGACGTGGAGAGGGCCGTTTTCTTAAACTGCTTTTATATGTTTTAAGATATATATAAAGGTGATACATAGTTGTTCTTATGCAGAATATGATATGAATATTATTAATAATTTTTAAAGCAATATAAACATAATAATAATAATAATAATAATATGGATGTCATTAAATTTGAAGAGGAGATATACTTGTAGGAAAATTTCGATAGAATCATGATGTGAAATAATATATGGTTTATATTCGTGAATTATGGTAACCTGTAACTGGTTGTGTTTTCATTTCTAATCCAATAAGTATCTTATTAAATTGTGTAATAGATGCTATCCGCTGAATTGAGTTTCGATTTGGAGAAATCCGAACTATTACCATGCTTATGCTATGAGCCTAGCTAGCTAGGTTACTTGATACTAAAATCCAGAATAGTACTTGATCATATGCATGAACCCTTAGTTTCACTAGAAGCGATGAAGTTAAGTATTTAAAAGGCGGAAGGAGCCAGAATAATTAGATCAGTACTTAATTTGTGGAGTTTAGTTTTGGAGTAGTTACATATATGTGGAGTTTATAGGTGCGTTGACGGTCGATAATGTGAATTAATTTGTGAAGCTACTTGTATTTTCTCACTTTTAAATTATTTTTCACCCCTAATATAAACAATAAATATCAATTATATGCATCATCAATGATAAAATCAAATTTTTCAACACATAAGTCATAAAATATTTCAAATATTTAAGTCTAAAAACAACTACAAACATAAAAAAAATCCAACATTTGGAGCTTGCAATTCTAGTATTTTGGTTTTTCGGTCGGAAATTCGGTTCGGTTGAAAGAACCCTGATTTCCAAACTATCCATATTTTTCTTCTGAGTTCTAAACCGAATAGCATTAATTCGATTTCGGATCGATTTAATTCGATTCGGTTGGTTCGAATTTCGGATCGATTTACCGAACCGTTTGCCCACCCCTACTGCTGCATGTCTTCATACAATTACTGTCTGGAATTATTAACGTGGCCAGCTATTTGGCATTAGCATATGGAGGAGGGTGGAAGAGAGAGAGAAGGGTTAAAAATTCCCTGAAAAAAGTGCAGATTCTTCTAACTTTTGACCAAACAGACGGGAAACCCACGCGGAAGATCGATCTCTCTGCCAAGAACAAATTGCATACTTTAAACTTAACTAATGAGAACATTATTTTTTTTTTTTTTTTAGAGCACGTCTTAGAGGTCGTTTGGATGGATCAATCTAGAAATGAGTCAATTTGATCAATTGTCTCGTTTTATAAACGAGGCAATTAAAACGAGTCAATTCGAATTACCTGTTCTCACCCCAGGTAATTGAAATTGATCCGTTACAATTCCTCATCCAAACCACCCGTTAGTGAATTGTGGAAGAGTCTACAAAGATTGATGAAGAAACTTATACTTTTCATGTGTTCATGGAGAAGGAAGTGGTATTTATTATCCATCGAACAGTCACTTAGTGTGTTAGTAAACGATATATGATCCATTATGGAACCTCTCTCAACAACTCGAGTTATTGTGAGCAACTGGTTCTTGAAGTGGAATCATAGCCGAATGTGACTGTGACGTCTTCTGTTCGATTCCTGTTGACCCACCAGCGGCGGATCCAGAACACAGAAGAGCACTGGGCTGCATTTCATTAGAAAATTAGAACCGTAAAAAAATATAATGATTATAGTTTTTTGCAATGTAAATTGTACACAACTGTATTTCAATTTAGGGAATGCATCAATAATGAAGTCTACATCCATACCAATAGTATACACTGTTTCAAATAAAATACTTGAGCAATCGGCGAGAAATTCATCGCTCATTTTGTTGAGCAAATCAGTTCTCACATGTTTCATTGTTAAAAAGGTTCTCTTCGTAGTAGCTGTTGAAACGAGCAGCATCAACACTAGATAAATCAATCGACTAATCAATTTACATTGTGTGTCCATCCCTGCACACCAGCTGCTTTAGTAAATTTGTAAGGAAACAAACCTCATATTTCTTTTAGTCTTTTACGTTTTTAACTTTTTAGAATTTTAGGTTTCATTGTTTTTTTAAGACGCATAATATTTGGGGCTAAAATTTCTAGGCTAAATTTAGAATAGTGATTTGAATATGTTCAACTTGATAATTTTTCTAGTTAAACCCAATCTTATCATAGAATAACACTGGATTGAATGTCTAAAATCAAAAATTTCATAAGGACTATAGTAACTACGGATCCAGAGGAGGGCTGGGCCGGGGCCTGGGGTGGCCACCCCCTGGATCCGCCAGTGTGACCCACTATGTGGAACCTCTCCCAACAACTTGTGTATTTTGCAGAATATAACGTTATTTGACTTGTTTTAACCACAGAATGCATGTATGAGAGGAATGCATGATGTATTCATAATACATTGAAAATTATGTATACTTGGTCTCATATTTTTGTTCAAATTGTCGAAACATGTGTATCAACTCACCCAAACTAAGTTTTGAAAGATTCTTATTTGAACGAGACATGCGTTACTATGAATAGTCCATGCTAATTGTTAAGTGATGACCCAAAACTTAATGAGTAATGACCAATGTTTCCCTTTCGAGAGAACTAGTTCAAATCAAGATGATTAATCAAGGAAGATAATATTATAAGTGTATTCACTGGTGTGGGTCGCCAGATGGGAAAGAGAGGACCCAGGAACAATGGGTCTTCTTTTTGTTGATGGCATGGTCTTGTGGATCCATGAGCTGGATTTTGCAGAACACACACACTCTCTCTCTCTCTCTCTCTCTCTCTGGCAACCCCCCGGAAAGAAGAAACAACAACTCGGTCATAACTCGCTGGCTCGCTCATTTCACTCAACTCAACCCAACTCAGACATTCCATGAGCTTTTAATTACTGCATAACTAACTAACTAACTATGATTGTGGCTAATCCTTCCTTGCCTCGCTTTGTAGTAGTGCCTATTGACCACTCCTAATATTGTTTGACCGTCTTCATCTCCTCACACTAGCATTATCATCACAACCCACGTTCCATCATTATGGCTCACGTGCCCCAGCTCCATTGATCTTTCTTTCTTCCAATGTCTTCCTCTTTGCTTCAGCGCTTCTCGTGGAATTGTGGGTGGCGGACAGATAAAGAGCAAGAGTACAGACATGACTGGAAATGAATGGAAGCCAACCCAAATTCCCTTCAATCATACAGCTCGCAATGAATTTCGTTCTAGAGTCATCTTGGCTTCTCAAGTTCTCACACACAGACATGACACAATGCTACCTTGCTGTCCAAGCTTTGCCTCACCCAAACTCAACACACTCGCTTTCTGCTTTAATGTTTTCACTATCGCGTTCACTATAACGATACATCGTAAAGTCGTTCTTGTGGATGGGTTGTGGTCGTCGTGGATCGATGATTTTCCTACCCGCACTTATTCAGGTGGGGTTTTGGCTCGGTGATTCTCCACGCTCCCAGGCAGCAAACATGGTGAAGAATTTATGCGCCACGAACAAAAAGAAAATCCTTGCAGTCCAACCGGTTTCCAACAAGCCAAAAGACAACATAATCCATACTGCACTGAACTGGGTTAGTCAAACCTTCATCCGGTCAAACCGCTCAGAAGGCACCTGTTCATCAGAACTATGACAATGAATAGGATTGGGATAGTCCACTTACGAAACTCTCGTTATTGGATTAGCCATACACTGTACATATTTCTAGCGATTCACATGGTATCATCAAATGGTTGGCAACCAACTCGTTACTTCTATAGCATACCTCGACAAGAAATGCCAAGACCTAATCCAGACAACGTGTGCCCCCCAAGTAACGAGAGATGCTTTCTTTCTTTTGCGAGAGTTTCTACTCCCCAATGCCAATCAGCTGGCCTTTCCCTTTGTCATATAACGATACACAACTCAACCACATTGTTCACACCCATTAACACAGCCTCCACAGGATACTGATCAATGCATTCGGATTAATCTGCTCAAACCTCGCAACTTTTTCAGATTTCTTCAAATGGTTCGATCCATATATGGGGAGGAACAGCGAAATTTACAGGCACTAATCTCCAGCTATCATCAAATCTGGTTCTCTTCTCACAAGTAAATACTAATTTACCAAATCAAACCAACCCCCCAACACTAACATTCAAAACCAGAACCCCAAAAACTCATATCACCACAATGGTTTCAATCACGCACCAAAAGGAACTATAAGGACACAGATTGATACAATGTGTCGACAACAAAACAGTTTTTTTTTACCAGCCTAGGATACTTTGCATTGGTAATATGAGAGATATCGCCGCACTCTCTACTCGTTGGCTTGCATTGCATGAACTATCATATGCTGTCCTTGTCACTGCACATCATCAAGAGAGCTACAAAAGGTTAAAACAACAAACAACTATTCATCAAGAAAGGATGTACAAGAGACGAAATGAAATCCTAAACATGGACTGTTGGTATCCTATTAACGAGCAACAATGTGACCCATGATGATGACTAGGTCGTGCAATGAAAGCGTGCCTGTAACAGGTTGGAATAGATAGCACTTGAAAACGCCAATACTGTGGTCTGTGAATACTCGTGTCGGTAAAAGATTTTGAGAGAGGCAGAATCCGGATAAAAGCTGCTACACAACTACTAGTTCGCAAACTTATAATTATTCAATTGGCTACATATATAACATTCTAAAACATCTTCAAGAATGTTTCTCAGAGAGGACTCAAGAGAAGATAAGCAATCTCCAATGAAGAAATGACAGCCATCATATCAATTCTTATGTTCAGGTCTGGCCAACTATTACTGAGCAAATGGCACAGCAGCTATCACATTTCGCTACAATAAATAAAAACCACTCAGATAACTATGTGAAACTCCAACCAAATGAAGAAGCAGTCCAAGAGTACTAGACTATACTGCATACAGTGACAGGACATAAGGCGAGTCATCTGTTCCAGACTATTTATCCCCCCATATGCAACCTGAATGACGGACGATAATTGATCTCTTGGAAGACAATAGTTAAATTTTAGAAACTCATGCAGTATCTTTGCGACCAAAATGTGCAGTATGCACGCATGAATATCACACAGCTTGATATCCCTGTAGTTAATTTTCAAACCCTACTGTTATTCTAAAAGTCTAGTTTGTTGCTATTCTTCATGCATATGCCTACAAATGGAAAAGAAAGAGGAGAATTGAAAGGGGGTGGAGAGAGGAAGAGAGGCAGACACACCTGCTGACTCATGTAGTTCAATGACCCCTGTATAGCATACTGTCATATTCACCCGTCACGAGCGTTCCACAGGAAAGGAACAAGTCAGATAATGCTGCAATCATTAAGTTAGAAGATTAAATTTCCAGAACATAACCATTTAAAGCAAAACCACAGAAAGTTCGACAAAGTTACCTGTGCATTTTGAGCAGACATGCCACCAACTGGATCCCTTTTGACAGATCCTTCTACACCCCTAATAGGCCCTTTGGCATCTCCCTGTCATACATTGTTCAAAAATTAAAACCCATAAAAAGGATATTAAATTTAGATTAATAATTGTGTGATTTAGTCCAGAGAGGGTGTCAAATTACCTCCAACTATGTCACCGCAATCACAGCATAACAAATTAAACCAAGAAAAGACATATAAAAGGAAGATTATTAGGCTCCATATCACTCAAAACTGTGAAAGCTTGAAAATATTTTGAAGGAAGAAGTAAAATGAAATTAAGTGAAGGATCAGTTACCTCTCGGTACCTATTAAGGTACGCCTTGAGTGGTTCAATGTAATCTTCGAAGCCTAACGTTGCCATTGCCCACAACAAATCATCCCCATTGATTGTCTTCCGCTTCTCCTTTTGACATTTATCACTCGCCCTTCAAAGAAGAAGTAAAAAACTTCACACCAGTTTCTCACTCACTCCAAGCCCCACAATTATAAGTACCCAGGCAGTCCAGATTAACATCCAGAAAGTGAAATAAAATCTATATTAGGTAGAAAACTATTATATCTCCATGCATTTCACAACTGGCAACATTATCTGAATAACTCTAGCAATGAAGCACAAAAATGTAGAAGTTACAGTCCCACAGGTTTCAGACATGACAGTTCCCAGAATAGAACCTCGAAGCACAAGATTGTAGCTGTTTCAAACACATTAATCACCAACTCACCATAGAGAAACCAAAACCAAACTTAGTTCACACCACACATCACAAAGTTCATCCAACCGGAAGCAACCATATATATATCATACCGAAGAAAACAGAAGTTCAACTCCTACTAAACACTAAACAGTCAATCACACAAAACCGAATAAAAAACATCAAAGCGTAAAATAAAACCCTTCAAACTTACTCGCTAGTGATGAAGCTGATAAACTCAGATACACATTCCTGGACAGTATCCTTGGCATCCTTAGCGATCTTGCCGTTGGCAGGCAATGCCTTCTTCATGATCCTGCTAATGTTGGCGATAGGGAGGAACCTGTCCTGCTCCCTAACTCCGGAGTGAGGGCTCTGTTCGTGCTCACCCCCACTCTCGTGACTCCCCCCTGCCGGACTACCTGGATTATCTGCCATCCCGCAGCACTCTCCCTACAATCACACTAATAATCAGACCAAAATAAGACCATTAGAGCAGTTCCATCAAAATCCCTTAAGCACCTCTAATCCCTAGGAAACCCCGTCGGAACCATGAAATTTCAGCCCCACTTACCAAACCCTACTACGGTTTGACTACACAAAGAAGAAAGTCAGAAAATCCACAAAACTATCTGCCTCCCGACTGCCGCAAAACCGAACCATTTCACTCCACGCTAAACCGAAACCAGCATATCCACACCAAATACACACACAGAAAACGCAAATGAAGAGGGGATCGAAAAAAGCCCTAAATGCCTGCTCACCGACCGCAGCTCAAGACATCATCCGTGCAAATCAGGCAGATAAGCAGAGAGAAAAACAAGAAAATGAAGGAACTAAAAAGAGAGCCGAAATCGAAACCCTAGGGTTTACGAAGCAGAGGGAGAGAAGGAGCGGTGGTTGGGAAGGAGCTACATACCTGTAGAGCGAGAGAGAGAGAAGGTGGTTTTTGTATTTGAGCGCGCAGGAAGGGAGGGAAGGAGGTTGATTGGTTGGAATGGAATTTTTTTTTTTTTTTTTTTTGGCGATTTAATCTCAGACAGAGAACGCCGCAGATCTGACGATGGAGAACACGAGCTTTTCTCGCTCCTGACGCGATGCAGCGAGAGAGAAGCTAGCGGAGCTTGGATTGGTGTTTGGTTTCTCTCTCTATCAATCACTAACCGTTGGTTCCTTCCTCTTTCCGCCGCCCGCCCGCCCGCTCATTTTATATACGCCGCCCAGTGGGCCCCACAGAATTGGGCCTTGTTTGCTCTACCCCGATCTTAACCCTTCTCCTCATTGGGCCTTCGCGGCTGTTGGATTCTAGAACAATGATAAGTGGGCTCACCTTGTAGTCCAACTGGGTGCGTCTGGAAGATCTTAGAGCATGCTGGCAATTAGGGATGGCAACAAACCCCGAACCCATTGATACCCACCCAATCTAACCCGGTCAACGTGGGTAAAACCCGTGTTGACGGGTTTTGGGCCGGGTTCGGGTTTAAACCCGCTACACTATTCACCGGTACCCGCCCACACACATATAATTACTTTCCCGGTATATTTAATATTCTAAATAATATATCTTGCATAAACAGCTAATATTCTTTATGTTTGTGGAGACATGTATAATTTGTTCTTTCTAATTGTTTAGAATGAAGTTGATAATATGAAGTGAAGAATGAAGAAACTTAGTTGACGAGGAAGAAACTTTCAATTAATCTTATTGTTTATAGATGTTTATCTTTAATTTTGAACAATTTGTATTGATCATTTGCGGTTTGCTTGTATGCTCTAGATTGGTGTTTTTTGTATGATTAATTTGTATGAGAAAATTGATGTTAAAACTTTTATTTTGAAAGAAACTTGTTATTGTAAATTTTTTACTAGAAAAACCCACGGGTACCCATGAACCCGCGGATACCCAGCGGGTTGGGTTGGGTTTGAGTTTTTCAAACCCAACGGGTTTTATCCCGGGTTTTTTTGGCGAATAAACCCATGGGTTTGGGTTTGATAAAACCCGCCCCAACCCGACCCATTGCCATCCCTATTGGCAGTATCAATCCTCCATTAATATATGGTAGAGTTTTGTGTACTTTTCTCCATTTCAAATTTCCTGCAACGAGAGTGAAAGTAGGAAGGTCATTTTTGTCTTTACACATTTATTATTTATTTCATATAAAAATAGCAATATCAAGGTTTGAACCCGGGTCTCTTCAAACAAAGATAACAATCACAACCAGTTACACTAAACAAATTTATTGCATTCTTTTTGATAAAAAAATAGACAAAGTTAATCTCTGAAAATCAGAGGACTTTTTATCATAATTAGCAAGCTCACTAAGTCTACCGTATTTATTTTTATCGAGCTTGATACTTCTATTTTCATAGTAGAGTTTCATGTAATTTTCTCAATTTTAAATTCTCGCTCTCTCCTTAATTTTTGCTAAAGGTAAATGGGTAATTGGCCAACATGGAAGAAACTAATTATGTAACTACTGTTGTATCCTTGCATTTTTCAATTTAAATTTAAATTTTGTGTTTTTTTATCTTTGTTCTTTTCTCTTTATAACTTCCTCCGAAATTTCATCCATCGTGCAATAGTTTGCGCCTTTCACTTCCCAGTACAAGACTGTCATTGAAAATCAATCTTCAGGTATCTCTTGGCACTACGGTTTGATTGTTGGGGATTTTAAGCTGGGCGAGTAGAAGATTTCAACTCCAATATCAATTCATGGCGAATAGAATGGAGTTCATCAATAACTGAAGTTGTAGAAGGAAGATTAGAAATTGAATTTTTGGTTGAATATATGTCTCTTGAGATAGAAATTTGGTTGTACAACGGAGAGTGGTGGCTATTGGATCTTTATGTTTATGGTTTTTGCAACTGTCATAACCTATTTCTATCTTAAAACGAGGAATCATTGATTGATTGTTTGAAATAGGTCGCTTCTTTATTCAACCTACTGGAACTAATAGATAAGGAGTGTCTAATTTTGCGCCTTATTACTTTGATCGAGTCTATTCGTATATTGGAGATAACCCTGATTTTTTCGTTTGCTCTCAAGTTGTGATGGTCCCCTCTTAGCTGAGTTTTTACTATATAGATGACTTGAATCAACAACTCTCCATTTCTTTTTGATTAGTGACATATTGTTTCTAAAAGGAGAGCATTGAACCCTTTATATAGGATTGTGAGGTTTAAGATTTAGTTTCAAACTATCTATGGGTTGTGTGAGAATTTCAGTGAGCTTTTATACTCTATATTTCTTAACTGTAAAAGAAAACTAACCAATAGCATTTTAACAGGGACTTAATTAGCATTATGAAAATGGGGTCAATGATACATTTTTATATTTTATATTCTTAAATGATTATGATATTTCTCCGAATCTTCGACCTATATATTATTTCTTTATGTATCATCTCGATCAAATGATTATCAATAAGATTAAACGGGTTAATAGACTTAAAAATAACATAAAAATACAAATAATCAAATATGAGCATTCCGGCCAAAGGGCCGGGGTATAAGCTAGTAATCAAAACAATGATTAGTGTTGGTAAAACCGTAACATACCAACAGTCCAATCCGAAAAACCTGTTATTGGAATCAAAGTCGGTATGAGACTTTTTTTGGGTATGAAAGGTTAAACAACGATTTAATCACAAAGTATCCTACCACAAACTTTTTCCTCCGATGTGGTTTACTGTTTAAACCAAGATTTGCTTGCTAACTGTGCTATAGTCAAAGATTTTAAAGTGAGAAATATGACACATTTTGTCATTCTTCCAGGCCAAATTTTGGCCCTCAATGAGGAAGTGGTTTTTGTGGCTTCTTTCATTATGCTGGTTGCAAGAGCACAAACTGTTCAGATTGGATATCCCTCCACGAACGCCTTCTTCATCACCTCATTCTGTCCAAGCAAGGAAACACAACAAACATGTGAGGATTGTGGAAAGGCAGCCCCTGAAATCCCCTATTCCTGCCTGAACTATGGCATGGCATGTATAATAACACATATATACAATCGCCTAAATTCTTTCACCTGGATTATTGCGGTTATCCTCCCAGGATTCATCTGATAACACCATGGAAAACAAAATACTTATGTCAACAGCTGATACAAGCAGAAGATTGAACAACCACTGATAGACATCAAGTATCTTAACATGTTTTACATACCGCAAACTGCTTTTCCTCCCACGAGATCTCCTCCGGAGCTTTATGTTCCAATGACTCCCATGAATGTGGGAACTGGATTTTTTCCACATGTTGCATGATCCTCAGGCTATCTGTAGTTGAAAAAAGAAGGCTTCAACCGAGTGAGAATTGGGTATCAGCAGTACCAGGGGATTGAATTTCAACCTCAACCATCAAACATTACGCTAGTTGGATGAGATACATGTCCCTCCAATGCAGAAGCATTCAGAATTGGGAACCTTAACAAAGACTCGGCAAAATCCTGTACCAGCAGGGTAATGAATGGATGATAATGACTGCTAGTGAATAACCAGATAACTACCGTGAGATCGTTCTGCTTTCTTATTTCGGTAGAGAAACTGTGAATATTACTAATGTTCTCTATTACAAGACCAAAGCGTGACCATGCCAGTCCAAGTAACTGTAGCAACCAACAACTTTAACTGACTACAAAGACAGATAACTCATGCAACACTAAAGTCATTGATGAGATAAGGAAACATATACTTTACTTGTAACAAAGGCTTCCTGCCAAAAGTCACGCTCAGACCATGAAGGAGCAACTTCTTGAACTGATATCCCTTTGCTTAAGCACACTCTTCACAGTCAAAACAGCTTTATCATGACTCATGAATCCGCTTGAAGTAAATAGGAAGCATAGAGATTTGTCAAAAAAAAAAAAAAAAGGAGAAACAAGAGATAAAAATATACAAGGAGTACATGTTACAAGAAACCATGTCAAGATGGAAATTGCTCCTATTCAGGGAAAAATCATAAACTGATGCGGTTCCCTCTAGGATATGTAGGTATCCAAAACAAAAAGGATGTATAGGGGGAAAACGTACTCAAGAACTAGTTGACGGATTATTCCTGGAAGAACACCATCAGAAATGGGGGCTGTCTGTACTTCGTAAGGAATTTCACCAACTCCTTTCCCTTCCTGGAAACACCTAGACCAGTACAGAGTCAGAAATAAGCTGCAAACACATTCTGCAGAATATTTTCAGGAACCAGAGTAACCTAATTGAACTTGCCAATGAAACAATCTAATTAATTTATAGTCACTCAGTACATCTATCACCCAATTAGTGCAACTTCAAATAGTTTCGAGTCTATAAAGCCAGCTGATAAGCAAGATCTCAGCTTTCAAATACATCATGCTTGAACTGTTATACCATGATATTAGTGTTGCTAGTAGTTGACAAAGTTCAGCAATGAATGATCTTAATATCATTTGAGCAGGAGCATACAATTTTTATCAATCTCTCTATCACAGAAGCAACTTGATCGACTTTGGAGCATTGATGACTCACCCTGCGACGAACCACAAAGAAATTTGTCAGGCAGCCTTCAAGCAAATGGTCTCCATCGTTAGACAACAGTAGCTCCGTCGCCGAAGTAGGCCTCAATCTCTCCAGCGGCGTCCTTAACCTGGGAAAACATTCCCCCCCAAAAAAATCCCCATTGAGACAAAACGTCGAACACAAGAACGACAACACTAAAACACAGTCCGCCGCACCTTACCCAGTCGGAATACTTAGCTTCGGCCACGCTTCTGCCTCGCCCCACAACCGCTAATCTCGCCGCACCCTCCGGCCGATCAAATGCCAGAGGAACGTAGCCGGCCAAGTGAACATAAACATCCAGCATCTCCGCCAGACTGTCTGATCCACTCACACTCTCCATTCCCCTGAGCTTCTCCACATTCCCGCTGACAAGAGCCGTGATCGCCAGCTCCTCACCTTCCTTCCTCAGACCTTCTCTCAACGCAATCGGCAGCACCTGGTCAACGGAGTCCTTAACCAGAGAATCAACCGCAGAATCCCACGCCGATGACTCGACTAACGACGGTGGAAGGGAAAGCTCCGATTTCTCCGGCTTGAAGAGAAGCCGTGGGTCTCTAGAGAGGAGAATTCGGGCAGAGTTTGACAGCCGTCGTAAGTGCCGCTCCCAGAACAAGATACACGCGCCGTCGCTGTGAGTCCGCGTCGTCGTGTACGCGCCTGGGTGAGATTGAAGTAAAGTGGCTACCGGAGGGACGTCGGGCGATGAGGTAATGACGCCGTTGCTGAAGAGGAACTTGCAGTCCGTCATCGTCCGACGATTCGCCCCGATATCTGATTTCTTCCATCAACACCAATCTCCAGCTCCAGCCATTTTTGCCGGAACCAAGCTTCCTCAAGTTTCGGCCCATTCATTCAGGCCCAAAACAGACCATGAAAGCCCAACGGCCCATACACTTCCCACGTCGAAAAACCCCCCTTCCCGCCACCGTGTAGTTTTATCAGAGCTCAAAAGCCGTCGAAATTCAATTTTCCCGCGGGACGAACGCGCCGCCGCTGATCAGACGGTACGGAATCAAAGATCTCTTCATACGACGGCAAGACGGAACTGGAACGTCGCCTCTTCTTGATGAAGAAACTCGGAAACCCCAAGAGATTCCCATTTTCTGAAGCAGCAAAAGAAGAGAAGAAAAAGAACCGCCGCGGCCCTTGTTCAACCGACGCATCTCTTCATCCCGTGAACTCACGAACTTTGATCGGAGAAAGGGAGTTAAACGAACAACAATGTCACCATATAAGAAACCTGCAACTTCAGTTTCGTCCTCCCCGTTCCACCATTCTCAGGCATCGACACATCAGCAAAGCAACCGGCCTCTACTCACCCTCACCAGCAATGGGTTCCTCGCCTCCTCCCCTGTATCCCGCTTCTAATTTCGAGTCCGCCCCTGTCTCCCAACACGAACTCAAGACCTTCCACCAAATCGACCGCCGGCTCTACTCCCGACTGGTGTTCGACCTCGACCGCGACCCAGAACAATCCATGAGAGTAATGGCGCTGTGGTTGTTCCTGGAGAGATCGAAGTACGTCCGTTCGATGGTGCAGACTCTGTTTTCTTATAACGACTTCCTGATCAACGCTGTAGCCGACGAAACCATGCTCTGCTTGAAATGTCTGGACAACGAGCGGTACAGCCCCTTCGTTGTTCACTCGATTCACGAAATTCCCCTCCTCTATAACCTCTCCGGGGGCAGAATTACCCTTCCCTTCTTCCGCGAGAATCGGGTCGCAGTCCTCAGGGGAGTCGTCCAACTTATTGCCGATGTCTGTGTCAGAGTGTTTGATGATCAGTTAGCGTGTGCTGTTGAGAGCAGAGCTTTTGCTTTCGCAATGCGGCAACAACAATTACATCAACAACAACAGATGCAGAGTGGCTGGAACTACTACGGTCCGGAAATCGGTGTACCGATTTGGAATCTGAATGTCCACCATGGATATGATGTCGCTGGTGGGAGCTATCGTCCTCAAGAGACTGACAACGATGTTCTGGAAGAACTGAAGGGTGAACCGAGTGGAGGCTACTTGAATTTGTTGCTGAATCCATACGACAATGCTGCTTCATCTTCTTCGTCGCCACAGGTGGATGAAATCGATGCGGGCGTGAAGAAATTGGAGATCCACGGCGGTAATGGAAGCGAGGGCGACGGTGATGGAGTGCCAGCCGATGAGAGGACTGTTTTCCTGACGTTTTCCAAAGGGTACCCTATCTCCGAACGTGAAGTCAGGGACTTTTTCTCCATGTAAGTATGCGTTGAGTCCTTGTTTCTCTTCTTCAAGAAGAGAGAGAGAGTGAGAGATCCTAAAAAGTAAATCTAACTTGTGTTTTTTGGAGAGCAGGAGATACGGAGACATTTATGAAGATGTTCATATGCAAGAAGTGGCGACGGCAGAGGAGCAGCCATTGTACGCGAAGCTGGTGCTGAGGGTGCAGGGGATGATAGAAGTTGTGCTCAATGGGAAGAGGAAAGCCAAGTTTTCGATCAACGGGAAGCACGTCTGCGCTCGCAAGTACATCAGGAAAGGCAGCACACCACCACGGTAGTCATCATCTCTCGGCGTTGCATACTCTGCTCCGTCGATCTTGCAGTCCGACATACACAATAATAAGGGATCTGTATTTGATATATATAGCCTTGTGGACACACAAAATTTTGTCTAAACTACCTACACATACAATTTTGTTGCAACTTGTAAGGATTTCAAACTTCATGCCGGGTAAAAATTCCTATCTTAGCTAAAAATTCCAATAAACAAGCATCTAGCATTTACATCGCTACATTCGTCTGTCAAGTAAATGGTATATGAATCATTGATTAGCGGTGGATCACAAGGACAGCCTGAAGCATATGCCAGAGTAACTCGAAATTGTCAATTATTTACAAGGACAAGATAGATATACAACGAGTGAGGCACCTATTTCAATCAGCTAGGGGTTTACTTCCTTCACCTTCTAGGCGAAGAAGCTTAAAGCTAAAACTTATAATATCTAGACTAGAGCAACTTGAATCCTGACCTGTGTGAAATGTCGAAAACAGATATAATGATTTCAACACTGATTAATACAATGATGAGCCATTCGAGGAAGTCTGATTTCCTGTTCTGCAGAATCTCCTGAAGGAAACGGATATTATGCTGTGCAGTAGACAGAAGAAAAGAGAGTACCTCAAGAGATGAAATATAATAAGCCTACTTTGATTTGGTTCATTGAATGGCAATCAACGATGAAACTCAGAGGTTTACCTCCACAAACTTCAACTTGAAATCAAGACTTGCAAACCTCTGAGTTAATTCAAATTCATCTCTGAGGTATTCCCATATCTGACCGAATTTTGCATCTTTCCATGCTATGTCGGATCTATTAGGACAAAGTAAGAGAGTGAAAAGCAGTTGGTATATAATCAACTCTGGCCAGTCAACCATACAGAAAATATGCTTATTATTCAAAAGACAGAAGTGCAAGTTCCCCGAGCAGTGATATTTACCTCTCAAAAAGCCCCAGCTTCAGAATAATGTCAGCAAGATTAGAATTTGCTTTGCCAACTAATTGGAAAAGCTTTTTGCTATCCATGGAAAATGTTCCGGTTTTCTCCATCCCACGATTGATGTCAGTGAATTCAGCAACCATTCCATCGACCTGAAGAAAGAAACAATCACATAAGATAAGCGATCCAACAATCAGAAACCTACAAGCTTAAGATATTAAAAGAGCACATACCTGGCGTCCATAGTAGTCAAGAGCAATACTTTGACCAAGAACACTACCAATTGTACGAATCCCATCAATGTTCAGAAACTGCAACATTATATGATCAAGTCCAGCTTGCATCCAAGTGTCAAGATTCGGCTTCTCTCTCACCTCATACTCTTTTGGATACAAAATACAAAGTTCAGATTAAGTTAGATTGCCCATGGTATGCTGCTTAACGAGGATTCAGAAATGGTTCGGTTGCCACTCAATGGTAGACCTCTTTCTGGCAACACACTAACCAACTAGTATATGTAAGTGCAGAAACCAAAGAACTCACAGCAATCCCGACAACCGAATCAATAGAGAAAAAGACAAAGCGCAGCTTACCATCCTTTCTCATCTCATGGAGCACTCCCGATGCATGATTTCTGACAATTTTCAAGTAAGCATCGACTTCATGTTCACGGGCATTAAACAAGACGATAGATCCATATTGAAAGACCACCATGTAACAGCAATCACTCCCTCCTATGCAAGTGCCCAAACCCTGGAGTCGTTTTCAGTCAAATTAGAGCACTGCTGAAATGAAAACCTCACTAAAAAACCCCTCCAATACTACTTGCAAGAACTGAAAGCAACTTACACTTGTCGAGCAAAGATCCCCAAACTTGAGAAGAACATAATTAGTCATACGCGATGTAGGCGGGATGAAGTTCGGCTTGTTTTGTTCCACTAAGCTCTTCAAATCCACACTGCATACAGCAACAGCAAAGACTTGCAGGAAGCTAATAATGCAGACTTACGGTTCCAATTTCATTCCAAACAACGAATCATTATGCTTTGTCTCGCTTCATTACAGTTCAAATTCAAGTGGGAATTGAAGGAAGTCGAGAATTCCAACCTAGTGGAGAAGAAAAAAGCACGAACGGGAATCGCCGGCCTGGCATCCTCCTCCACGGAACCATTTCCCTCGCCAGCTTCCGCGGTACCATCTCCAACTTCAGAGCACAACACCGGCTCGCTCCAGTTCATACCGCCACTTGGCTGCTGCCGCAGCGAAGAAGACAGCGAGGACAAGCACCTCGCAATCACCAAACTTCCGCCCCCGCGGCACATCCCAATGCCAGTAACAGCTACCTGGCGGCCGCCATTACAGAAACCGAGGACGGGAAATGGAGCGGAGCAGACGACGGAGGTGGTCAGGGAGCTGTGGGACCGAGAATCGGTGCGAGGCCTGATCGGAGAAGGAAGGTGGAGCAGGGAATTAGGGTTGGCCTGAGCGTAAAGGAAAGTACGTAGGGGCAAGCGGACGGTTCTGAGGTGAGCATCAATGGAGCGCCACATTGCTCTTCTCTTCGCCGATCAGAAAGTGGGAAGCAGGACTGGCGAGAGAGAGAGATAGGAAAGAGGGCTTTTGGACAAATCATTGATCGTTGATTTTGCGGAGGTTTGTGATTTGGGCTTTCCGGAATGGGCTTCTGGAAGGAAATTTGGGCTTTTGCTATATGAAAGAGAGGTCGGCGACTACATAAGGGTGGTAATCCAACCCATGATCGGGGTATTTGACCGCTTTCGGTTAAATCAACGCGTGGAATTTTCGATTCTTCACATTGATCGAGTATGGAATGGGTATGAATCTTATTCACAAAGACATTGATAGTATTGAACATGTATGGTTTTGAACTCTCTCGCCTTATACACACTCGTGTCTGCACCACTAAGAGTAGTTCCTTATATTTATTTATATATATATATATATATATATATATATATAATATAGAGTACTCGGTGCACCCACTTTTTCAGGTGCACTCAGTGTACCCGCCTCATAATTGTCATTCTGAGCATGCGATTCATGTCAAAATGGTATCAATTGTTGCTTATGATATTATGAACAAGAAGCACATTAATTTGAAAATAATCCATTCACAATTTACTTTAATTCAAAGGATTTAGGATTTAGGGATTTAGGGTTAGGGTTTAGGTTTACAATTTGGGATTTTGAGTTGGGATTCAAAATTGAAAGTTAAGGGGTTAGGGTATTAGATTGATTTGTTATGATTCTATGTCATATCATCATATTAGATTGAGAATACTAATTAAAGTTCAAAATTTGATATATTATGGACACTTTTAGAGTTGGTGCACTGAGTGCACCCAAAAAAGTAAGTGCACCGAAGTAGCCACCATATTATATGGTGGTGTATTTGGTGCATTCAGTGCACTCGCTTCATAACCGTTATTTTAAACATGTGATTTATGTTAAAATGATGTCAATCGTCACTTATGATGTGATGAACAATAACGCACATGAATTTTCATAAAAATCATTAAAGATTTACTTTAATTCGAAGGATTTAGAGTTTAGAGATTTAGAGTTAGGGTTTACAATTTGGGGTTTAGGGATAGAACTCAAAATTGGAGGTCAAGGGCTTAGGATAATCCGCTAATTAGTTGTTATCATGTGTTATATCATGCTTACTCTTCCCATATGGTTGAGAAGACAGGTGTTTGGACTTACAGAGTTGACGACCACCCTTGTGGCCAACTTGACTCTTTCTAAAACCCATGTCTTCATGGTTTTTACACTTAACACATAACAACCCTTGATTTTTTATAGGACCATGATTGGTTGGTGTGTGTCGAGATGTCTTATTCATACCTTCTTGTTTGGCATTCATGTTTGGCATGCAATGGGGGGCTTTAGGCATGGACTTGCTTCCTCGTCCATCCCTTAATGTCATCTCATACTTAGAAATTTTTTGAGTGGGTTGGGTGTGATGAACACTCCTAGACTTGTTCTCCACTCGTTTCTTCACTGTCAGTGACATGCCCCCCTTTCCACTGGTTGGAGAAATGCCCCCCATGGCCTTGTTCATGGTTTTTGACGTGCCCCCTTTGCCAAACTCAAATACACTACAATTTTTACTACAAGCATGTGTGGCTTCTTGGGCATGTGTATCTTTCTATTGTTTGTGGTTGATGATATGCCCCCTTGTTGACCCTTCATGGGTGGCATGCTACAAGGGGGCCTTGCCTCCTTGTGCACTCTTTGACACGTTGTCAAAGTTATGAAAATTATAGGTGGCATGGGTAGGAAACACCCACTTAGACTTGCCACTCACTCCATCCTTCATGTCTGATGACATGCCCCCCTGCCCACTGCATGGAGATGGAGATATGCCCCCCATGCCATCCTTAGAAAATAAATATGGTGTTCTGTTGGACACACCATTTTGTTCACCTTTCTTGACATCAACTTGCCCCCCAGCCTGACTCTTCATCTTCAACTTGTCAGGTGGTAGCCTTCCATGCACCTCTTCCTGCCCCCTTGGTGGTTTGCATCCACCAGACCGTTTAAGCATCGATGGCAACGAGGTTGGGCAAACTTGTGGTAGCACATCCATAGCTAGTGACCCTCCACCAACTCTCATGTTCAAGAATGGTCTAGCCTCTGAGACAGTTTTTAGAGTAACTGTCTGCACAGGCGGCGGTTGCTTTACATGGGTGGTGAATGTGTTAGTAATATTCTTGTCATAACCGCCTTGTTGAAGAGGTGGTTGACTCATTTCCGGAGGCGGTAAGTTCCCTGACCGTGGCTGCGTAGTCCGGCCACCGGAGAACAGGATACTTGTATACTAAGTAGCAATACTTGGTGGCGGATCTATAGCATTTTTTGGTAAAGAAATTTCTCACACCACTTGTTCTATAAAATATTTTTTTAAACTTATCCAAGCAATTTGTATTTTCTGTAGTTGCTTCAAGCAATTCATCCAAACGTCTATCTAACATAGAACTAAAAGAAGCAAGTTTTAGACTTGTCTGTTGTGAACTTCTAACAAGTCCATTCAAACTCTCTTCCATCAATCAACGAATCTCCACCATCACTTGACGGTTCTCCACCACCATCTTGCAGTTATCATCCACTATTGAGCGGAGTGACAATGACATGGCAGTGGTGGTTACATCGGCACAAGGTGCCGCCGGTGGCAATATCTGAATCATGCCATTGTTTCCGACAACACTTACTGATGCTTGGCCAAATTTGAACTTGGCCGCCAACTCCTTCACAACTCCTGGTGAATAATCAACTTCTTGTTCTCTCAGTCGTGGAGCTATCAAATCAAACACACAGAGTCCCACCAGGTGTGCCAATTTGTTTTCCGGCGAGGAAAAATTTGTGTTTGAACACAATGAATGCACCTTGACTTCTTGAACAACGACAATCAACACGGTTCACACCTCTCCAAACAATGTTCGAACGGGGGTGTTTGATGTTTTTTCGGAGCTCTCACTGAACCTCCATAGCAGTAGGTGTGAACATAGTGTGTCGAATGGTTGGTTGTGGAACTCTTTTCTCGTCTTCGTTTCTCCTATTTATAGCCACTGGGTGTAACTGCCTTGGTAACCGTCGTAGTAACTGCTAGCTGGCCTTTTGCTCCAACCGCCTTAGGGGCCACTTGTCGCTGCCTTGGTGACTAGTTGGTAGGCCGCTACCATCTCATGACACCAAGTCCTCCTCATTAACTTGTTGGTTGTTACCAAGCCGTCTCATCGGCTTGATACCTTCCAGCATGTCACCAAGCCCATGTAATCAACTTGACACCCCTTGAACACAATGAATGCACCTTGACTTCTTGAACAACGACAATCAACACGGTTCACACCTCTCCGAACAATGTTCGACCGTGTAAGGAAGTGGTTAAGTACCATACATGGGCCTGTATAAGATCCAACATAACCTTCTCCCAACAACTCGAGTTATTGGGACCAACTGGTTTATGACATGGTATCAGAGCTGGTTTGTCCTTGAGGTCACGTGTTCAAGTCCTCACGACCCCCAATATTAACCGTTGTCTTTCAAGCACATGGTATGGCGGGCATGTGCAAACTTCAAGCCCATGAGTCGGCTTTCGTTTGAGGGGGCGTGTAAGGAAGTGGTTAAGTACCATACATGGGCCTGTATAAGATCCAACATAACATTCTCCCAACAACTCGAGTTATTACGACAATCTCGTAGCTAAGCTTATATAGAGATAGATTAGGGTTAAAATCCTAATGACAACCAAGTTTCCGTCTTTGACAAGGACAAGGAAACAAGGGACTTGGAGGACAAGAAATTAATTATTTTTGACTAAATAATTAATATTCTCAATAGACCGAGAGGGTGTTTGATGTTTTTTCGGAGCTCTCACTGAACCTCCATAGGAGTAGGTGTGAACATAGTGTGTCGAATGGTTGGTTGTGGAACCCTTTTCTCGTCTTCGTTTCTCATATATCCTATTTATAGCCACTGGGTGTAACTGCCTTGGTATGGTGGACTCGTCTCCATACTTAGTTTTTGTAGCCTCGTCAAGTGGTAAGTTGCACCCTGCCGGTTTGGTACCCGGCCGTTTGGCACCTCGTTGTGTCGCCTTGTTTCCAAGACTTAGTGTTTGTAGGCCAAATTTCATACTAAGGGGTGGAGGCATCGTCCGACTATGGGGGCCTCGGAGACGGGTCGACCATGGTATAGAGGAGAAGGGGGTTGGCCACTTAGGCCCAAAATTCAAACCCAACTAGGCCCAGCTGGCTCTTTTAATCATTAACTAGGATTCAGCCCGCGCTCCACTGCGGGATACTATTTCTATCATAATTAAATGGGATTTAATATTATCTATAACCATAATCCTTATGTTCTAAATATAGACATAAATATTGTCATAAACATAAAAAATTCCGTCATTTGCAAAAGATTGACTGGGTTTGCAGAATAAACATGAATGTTGTTAGGTGTGTGGCCATGTTTTCCACGATGTATCTACTAAATTAATAAAAGTTCCATGGCGGAGACTGAAGATTCGGAAAACAGCAGGACAAAATGTTTTCAGAAGTTTCGTGCCTTTGTGGTTTGCACGATATCAAAATGGCAAGCTTCGAAGGACAACATCATTTCTCGAATGCTGATCGATCCCACAGGGTGAGCACTGTCGCTTTTAGTTGCATGTCTGAATCACTGTCCCCCACCTTTTTCCATGCGACGGTCAATTCCGCAGCAAATTTTTTGTTACAGTTCTTTGCGATCAATTCGATGATTTGGTCCTTGTTCAGAAACTGATATTCTCACGGTGACTTACGAATAAGCGACAGAGCTGCTTCATGCTTAAACACCACATCTATTTCAGATCCTCCTTGGCGACATTTCCCTTCCAGTTTGTATGTGAGTCTTGCAATAAAGATCTTTTTGTTAGGTTTATACAAAGAGTATTATTATGCCATGTGTAAACGTGGGAGAATGGTCAAAAGCTTACCCTGTGTTCTCTCCACGAATTTTGCAGATGCTTTTTCTGTATATAAACCTTGGAATGTTAATCAATGTCATGTAAGTAACCTGTTGCAAAAACTGTCAAATGTATTATACAGGTAAACAGATGGAAATATACAGCTGATGTCAATGCTGGTGTTTGTTCGTTTACCTCTGTGAAATCTGACAGGTCCTCCATCCTTTCTTTTATCTCTCTCAACGATTTCTTTTGTAGTTGATTGCTCAGCAAGTGTTCAGTTTTTTTGCAAGTAGCAACATCGATGAAGTAAACTGATTTGCGACATGCAAGAAAGCTACATGTTGAAAAGAAATGTGTAAGTATCACTAACTCGATAGTAGTTGAACCAATCAGTTGGGTAAACCCATATACAGCAACTCACATGTTCATGATATCCTTGCAGCAGTTCTGATAAGAATGGATGATGAGCTTACTTGCAATTGTGGATCGAAATTCATGCTGGTACTTACTGTTATGTCTAGGAGTTACTCTACTAACTGATTTGATTGTCACAATCAATGGTAACTTTGCCTCAATTGCTGGAGCATGCTTTTGAAAATCATCAATGTCATGGCCACTGTATTCAACATAAGCCTTTTCCCCACTGATTGCAAAGCAATGTGTTAACTATACATTTTTACTAAGTAAAAAAAAGTGTGCAATCCTAAGAGCATACAAGACATCTTGTATGACCAGGTCGAATTTCTGAATCCTTCCTTTAATTGTTTCTGGATGAGTTAGTCTTCTAACACATCCTGTAACATCTACAGATTTAATGTTTGTTATGCTTTGTTTAATGGTGTTCTTAATCATGGATAGAGAGACATATATTTACCTGAATGGCAGACAAAGTCTTTTGATGTTTGAGGCACAATGGAAAAATCGGCTGCTGTGTATGATCCTGTTGGGAATTGCTGGGGTCCATTTCCTTCTTCAATATGCCTCCTAATTTGATCTGAAGTGAGGAGCAGGCGGAACTCTCGATGGACAACGCGTTGCACTGACCTTGCTGGACCTGCTACAATATCTTGTACTTCATGCAGGCAGCCAACCTTGATTTTCTTAAAAACCTCATCTGCATCTTCTTCTTCAACCTGAGCTTCGATCAGCTTGTTCTGTAAAGTCAATGGTAGATAGATATGTTGTCAAGAGTTTTTCATCTTTTAGCATTCGCCAGTAGGTTAATTGATGTGTAGGGTTTGTATATTGGCAAGTTCTTTTGTCTTAACACTGAATCAAATGCTCTGACGAATATTTATGAATATGGTTGGGGTATCTGGAGTCAAACCTTTTTGTCAAGCCAGAGCATGTGATGTGTCCTTTTCTTCCATGTGGATAAAGGCACTTCTCGGAACTCAGTCCATGTAACGACATGTCTAGCTATAACGGTTCGATTGTTTGTTCCCAAACGCAGTCCCCGAAAGCACATGCTTGAATCAATGGACTCTGCAACGCGATTAAAGACGAATCGATAAATAATGAATGGAAAAAACTCGCATAGGAATCGAGATGCGTTTGTTGGATTTCTTTCCAGATTCAATGTATTTACCTTTCAGTTCGTTCGGGTCCATTTTGTGTGGGTCCACGGAATCTCACGTATCAGTTGTACTATACAAATACAACTGTAAATCTGTTGGGTAGAAGAAAGCTTCCAGTTCTTCGAGACCCTGGTTTCCCTTTTTTTTTTGTATCTTGACTGCGCGGCCGATTCTAGAAGGCATAAAAAACAATCGGTAGTTTATATAAGCCAGGGTTAACTTAGGGTAAGTCCTTTTTGGATCGATTGTTTGGGCCTTGATATCGTGTTTGGGCTCTATATGATATGCAATGGGTTCTAACTGTTGAATCAGCCCTTTTTACAGAAAAGGCTACAATACGCTCCTACGATCATTGTTCTGTCAAGTTGTATCAGTTGGGCTCAACGATTTTCTTTCTAAGTTTTCTCTGGATAGTCCGAACCGATGTTAACTGATCAAAACTCATGACTGCTTTATAGCTTTGAGTTTCGAAATAAAAAACACAAAACATGTCTCTTGTTAAGAACAACGCAAGAACTAGAAGAACAAATTTTCCCAGGCGCAAAATTCAAAAAGTTGGGAGAGTTCATAATAATCACTTCGAGCTTCTTCGATGCTTGCAAAATTAACCAGGTGAAATATCTGTGAAGGCTTCTGAATATACAATGTTTCTCGTGTAATTGGCTGGAATGTCCTCTTCATTTTCAATCAAGAATCTCAAACCACCTGCAGATCTTACTCTTGATGCTGCCACATAAAGCTGTCCATGACTGAATACTGGTTTAGGCAAATAGACTCCAACCTTGTCCAGAGTTTGACCTTGGCTCTTATTTATAGTCATCCCATAACATAAACGTACTGGGAATTGCCTCCTCTTCAGTATAAAGGGCCAGCGTTTGTCTTCTACGTTGAGTACTATTCGTGGTATAACAACCTCTTTTGTGTCAAAAGATCCTCCCATGATGTTTCCAAAAATTATATTTTCCCCCAATTTCGTAATCAATATCCTCGTACCGTTGCATAGGCCGTTTGGTGGGCTCAAATTTCTCAGCAACATGATTGGAGTGTGAACCTTAAGTCTTATTTCATGATCTGGAACACCATTGAACTGAAGAGCATTCAAAAACTCTGTTGGGTAAGTTTCAGCAAATAGCTGAGGTACCTCTGTATCAAGTTGCATAGAGTCTGAACTGTAGTAGCAACGGCAATGTCCAGGAATTTTTTGCAACATGAAGTCATTCACTTCAGTCACAACTGCATTAGTAGGAGTAACGATTGCCCTTCCACTTAGGTAATCTGTGCTCATGTGTTGTTCCTCAAATGCGTCATATATGTCATTTATGATTGACTCGATTGGATTTTTTCCAGCATATATCAAGAGTATTTGTGGTATCTCAATCCAATCTGAAGGTGTGTTCGCCATAAAGGATTTTGTTGGATGCCTTCCATCTCCCAGCGCCAGAATCCACTCCCCAAAGTTCATTCCAAAGCCGACCAGGTTTCTATTATCTTGTGAATCATTAAGCCTCATGTTCCTTGACAGTTTGAGCACCTTAAAAAAGGGCCACAATGACGACCTCGTGATGGATCCATCAACTGTTTGTTCCCTTCCTGAATCTGAAATTACTGGTAGAGTCTGTCTAAAATCACCACCAAAGACTACTGTTTTTCCTCCAAACAACTTGTGTTTTGGACCTGATAGTGGTATGTCCATCAAATCACAAAACGTCCTGCTTATAGCCTCAAATGCATTTCGATGTGTCATCGGTGCTTCGTCCCAAATAATCAATGAAGCTGCACGTATTAGCTCAGCTAAATGAGTACCTTTCTTTATGGAACATGTAGATGCATGGTCTATATGAAGTGGAATTTTGAACCTTGAATGAGCAGTTGTGCCGTTTGGTAGTAGTGTGGCTGCTATTCCAGATGAGGCAACAACTATAGCAATTCTGGAAAGACTTTTTAATTTTGCAATGATTGCATTGTAGAGAAAAGTCTTGCCTGTTCCTCCATGGCCATATAGGAAAAATGAAGTGCCAAGGTTGTTGTTGATAGAGAGAATAATGAGTGTGAAAGCCTCTAGCTGTTTTGTGTTCAGTTTGCTAACCATAGTATTTGCCAGTAACCTTTGTTGATCATCATCAAAGTTAAGATGCTCATTAATCAGAGGATTTGATCCATCGTCAGGTTCTGAATCTGTCGGTCTTGGGATATGTAATTGCTGAAGTGAAGAACCATAAGTCCTCAGTAAAGTTTCCAGCTGATGTAACACCCAATTCTTAAGTCTCTCATCTGAAGGCTGGAAAGTTTTTGAGTGCAGCTGTTTACGAAGAGAATGAACATGATCTTCACTCATTAACCTCCATGAAGATTCAAATAGAGCATTAGGATCAGGTATTTCGTAGAACATCAGCATTGAAACAAATGTAGTCCGTATTATGTGTGGCATACTTGATGCTGCAATTTCTTGTAATACCTGAATCCATTCTGAAGAGTCCGACAGAAGCCCCAACTTTTGACATGCTCTTTCATAAGTACTACAAACCTCCCCTTGTATTGTTCTTAAATTGAGGAAGCTTGTTGCTCCTCTTACTTTGGTCAATAGCAGCCTAAGAAAGAATATATCATCACTTCCTGGAGGAACATAAGCTATCCTTCCTATTGCGAAACCTCTTTTCCTTGGAGTCCATTCACTGTATTCTTCATTCCATGTAAAGGAATTTGGTATTTGAGCATATGTAAGCTTTCTTGCATTACAATCATGTCTGTTAAGTTCAAACCATGATGTAAGATGAGTTTTACCTGCCCTTGGATTTTGCAAAACATTTTGGATATTTGACCTTCTCTTGTATGAAACATTCTGTTGTCCATCCATGTGTACACCAAGTCGAACCACATTAGGCTCTCTGTGGTGTATAGAATACTCGTTGATTTTCCATATAGCTTCGTATGAGGACAGAGACCTGCAATCAATGAACTCTTGTATCTCGTCTTTGTTTTTTTTTTTTTTTTTGTTATATTTGATGGTACCCGAACTGAGCTTGTCGAGTCTTCTGCAACAATAAGAGATCTATCTGGTCCTTTAGTAATGTACTTAAATAAGTACTTCACTAACCCTCCCTTGTGACATATCTCCACATTAATATGGGCTTGAGCTCTAACCAATAAGTTCCGATTGTATGGAACGACATATCTATTATCCAGCATTGCCTTTCCTTTTTGAACATGTATGCCTGAATTTCTTCTTCTGTACACGACATTGCCAAACTTGTCGAAAGAAGTTTCTGAACAGAATTCTTTTGGAAAATACTTCGAACATTTACCATCTTTCATACATGGTGAAGTGGGGTTGTTAACACCACAAGGTCCATGAATCATGAACTTAACCACTGCAGCATACCCTTCTGGATCTAGATTGGGGTCTGGTATCTCTGCAGAAATCATCTCATCAATGTCAGATGTTGAATTTAGCTTATCCTCTTTGGCTAACCATATAAGCATATGGACATGTGGGAGGCCCCTCTTCTGAAACTCAACTGTGTAGATTACTTCGAAAAAACAGTCCATCATTTGAACTTGATAGCTCATTCAAATAATAAAAGAAATTTTATAAAATGAAAGGTCATCTACAGGTAACTCACTGGCTATCGTTTTTCCGAAATATGATTCTCTTTTAAACTGGTCAATTAATATGGCAAGCTTCATGTGAAACACATGGCAGACCACCATAGGCTTCAACTTGCTGTTTGGTCCAATCATATCTGCAAAAGCGTCAACAATTTCTTCCCAAAGAGCATTGCAGGTAAATGTAACAAATAAATCTGGGTTACCATAATGTTGACAGGTTGCCATTGCATCATGATATAGTTGCTGCATATATCTTGGTCCTCCTGTATAAGATGATGGCATTATAATTCTTCCAAGTTTTTCTCCATCCATGTCTCCCTTTGCAAATGCATCCTGCAACCCCTGATAAACTTCTGCTCTTAAATCTTTTTGATGAGTTCTAAGAAATGCCAGTCGATTGAGTTCAATTGTTGAAAATGCATCAACACAGTAATGTTGCAATGCCTTGCCACTTTGAACCAGTGTATGCCCCTCATTCAATCGATACTGAAGTCTAAAAGCATAATACTCTTTTTGAGTAACAAATTTTCTGCGCATTGATGCTGGACAAAAGGAGGCATTATAAGATATTTGAGGATGAAACCCATCTTCTCCGTACGGGAATAGCAATGGGAAGTGAAGAGCCTCGAATTTTGGGTTGAGGCTTGTTATACGTTTCAGCCCTTCTCCTCGATGGTCTACAATGATATCTCTATCCTCCCTATATGCAACAAAATCACCAGGTATTAAGGCTGCAATATCAGAGCTAGTTGGCAAGTCATATTGTCGATTCCTACTTTTGATCCCAAAGATTCTGAGTCGGAGATTTGGTGTGGAAGAAAGCTGGAGATCTTGTCGAATGCGCCTAAATGTTCTGACCAACTCGTTGATTTCATCAAGCATTCGAAGCAAACTTGCAAGTAACTCAGGCAACAAGACTTCCTCTTGAGATGCGAAGTTTGCAAGTCTATTGTTAACCTCATTTTCAGGTTCAAATATATATAGCTGAGCAAACTTGGGCCTATTTCCATCAACTGGAAGTAAGGATCCAATCCTATGGTAATTCTCACCACAAATAACCATCGAATAAGGTCCTCTTGTTGTCAAAGAGCGTGGATCCAGTTTGGCTCCAAAAGATGTGAAACACAAAGAACCATTGTAGGGTCTAATGTTGTCTCTAAAATGTTTTGACATTGCACCTCCATTAAGATCCAACAGCTGAGCAAGCAATGGAGGTGGTGGCTTTAATAGGGGAATGCAAACTCTTCCTTTTTGACAACAAAGAGTATAAACAGGATTTAAGGATTTCCTGTGTCGATCCAATCGTTCAGCATACCCAAAAAAAGCACCACAGAACTGACATACACAGTCAGGTTTTCCAACGCTCAGCCTATCATTGTGCAATGGCTTCCTTGCAGTTGGGACATCAGCTGATGCTTTTTTTGCTTATATTGACGATCATTTGTAGCTAAACTGCAAGATGCCTCATCACCACCCATTTCTGTATAAGGATCTGGAGGAACGAACTCACTGTTGTGAGCATTTGTCGACTTTGAAATTTCCCCTGAGAGAATGAACGGCAGGCTTCTCAATCTCTTGTTTACTCTGGTGTTATCCACGTTCATATCTGTAAAGCTGTGTGTTGGATTTCTGGAGGATTCGATTGTGAAAGAAGTGTCACCTCTCTTTCACCTCAACAGGTTGGAAGTCGCTCTCTTCTTTCTAGGTGTCATTCTGATTACATGAAGTAAATGTTTGATATCCAGTCAGACTTAAATGAGCCAAAAACAAAAGTTCAATAACTGCAAACTTCAGTGTTCTGTCTTGGTCAGATAGACAAAGAAGAGGATCCAAATCATTTAAAGAGGTTCCATTAATGTGTAACTGAAGAATAACGAATACAGACATGCTTAACTGTATCTGATGACGTGGTCTATATCACCAATGATGAGTGTCTCTAACGTGTAGCTCCAAACAGCTGATCTGCAGGTCTTACCTTGCTGTATACTCCAGCTAGCTGATACTCCACTGAAGGGAAAAAGTCGACACAAACAGAATTACTTGCTGAACACAGGAGCAAAAACCAGAGGGCAAAGAGAAAGTTGAAGGTCCATTGATGAAATCTCTTTGATATCTGATGTGTTCCTTGATAAGATATTATACAATCAATATATAATTTTATATCAGGTGTCTAATCTCTATCCAAGTAGTCATTGTGACTGCTGGTTCTGTAACCAAGGGTAAACAATGATGGCTTTTGCATTTTATGCTTTAGATTTTGGGCACATAATTAACCCAAATTATTTAAATCTTGCAACCCACAAGATTCCTTTTAATATTAGCACATGTCTGCTATCCATTACTAATCTCGCTTGTTCTTATCATATTTTTCTTGTGGACAATGCTTACTCTTTCCCATCACATGATGTAAAGAACATTTTTGTTATATTTGTATATACATACAGTTAAGACATATATGTAAAACACAGGCATCTTAGATAAAAACTATATCCCTTGATAATACTTAAAACTGCTGAGCATTCACATTCTACAAAAGAGGGACCAAAAGGGCAGAATTTTGCCCACTCTGGCGTCACAACATTTCAGGTGTCCAAACTGACCACCCTGATCTTGCACAGAAAATTACATGCACTTAAAACTTACGCCTCATAAACAGATACCCGAAGTACCATTAGTTTTCTCTAGTAACCAACAACATAATTTCCACAAAGTTGCCAAAATTAGCCAAGAAAGGCAAGAACAAAGTTTACAAACAGGTTCCCAAGAAGTTTACAAAAGAGCTGCAAACCCTCCAACCAGCACAACTTCAAACGATCGACAACATAAGCATCCTGCCCACCATCAAAAGGACTGCCTCCTTGCAGCAAATCCAGCATCCACAAAAGGCAACCTCCTTTCCTGCACCTAGCATAACTTAGATCCAGTAAATAACATAACCAATCAACATTCAAAACTAATAAATAACACACAAAGGGATCAGACTCGAATTTATACCCTAAGATTCATACAGGCGACGCTTAGCAGCAGAAGGCTTCCCAGGCGCCCTTTGTGAATCTTGGTCAGCAAGCGAAAAAGGGGACGAACTTTCTGTTTGCTCATCATCATGTCTCACATTAGGAGATCCAGTTCCAGAAGATTCTAGCTTCTCAATCTTCACCTTAGCCAGAGGTGATATCAAGCTGCATTGTCAAAGACCAAAACAATAAATTCCGACTGCACTCTAACCATGACACGATAAGTTTAAAAGTAAAAAACTCACAGACTCCTTGAAGACAAAGGCGAAACTGCTGAAGATGACTTGCTGATTTTACTCTGAGGAGTTTCAGACCCAGCCCAGCAATGGATGACAATCCATGTACTCCCTGGCTAGTAGAACTCATAACATCCATACCATCACTCAGAGTTCCAGGAGTCCCCACTGCACCCTTCACAGCACCAACTGACTGGATATTAGAGACCTTCAAAGGATCTGCAATGGTAAAAGGAGCTGCCACAACAGTCGCCCCTGGACCTGTTCCTTTTCCTTTCACATCAGCAACAGAAAGCAAAGGTGCAATAGATGAAACAGGAGGCAGCAAATTTGGCGAAATCACGTCGGACACAACAGCATTCTCCTTGATTGCCAAAGGAACTTAAGATGAACTGCAAGAGCCAAATGAGCACATAAGTATTTACCAAGCAACTATTTACCATGCAACAACAGCAACAAAGCACAGGTTAATGCATCAATACCAAATCAAGTAAAACAGTCAAAATGTGTTACCTGAGAGGCAACCCTGCAACCTGGCCAATCTGGAATGTTGGATTCGTCCCTCCAGGCGACACTGAGTCAACAACCTTTTCCTTTCCCTTGGATGAGCTAGATTTGTAACAGCAAAGATTAGTAATTAGACTAACCCAAACCCATACCTAAACCCCCCGTAATTAACTAACACAAACATAACAATAGAGCAAACAACGCTCACCTAGATGGTATGACAGCAGAAGCTGAAGCTGCGAAAGGTACACCTGGAGCAGGCAGCATCAACATTCCTTCATGACCAGAATAGGACTGACTTAGGGTTTGAGACGAAGAAACACTGCCTGTGACATCTGGAACTCCTGTAAGACCAAGCACTGGGCCCTGAACATCACGGGGCATAACTCGGAAAACACGGAATTCACCCGTAGATACTCCACTTGACCCAACCATCGGAAGCTTGACCTCAAACCTGACAAACTGGCCGAGCAAAGCCTCAAATTCAGGCGGTAATTGGCCAGACCTGTGAGGATATCTCTGGGCCAGCAGTTGGGCAGATGTGAGCACCAAATTGTTCCCACATGGGCCGAAAATAATGAAAGGGGCCTCGTCAGTGGCATCACGCAGGGTCAATTGGATCTTGTAGCTAGAGATGACACAGTAAAAAACAGAGAGAATTCCATCAGGAAAGGCTTAGGAGTGCAAACTCAAAAAATTAGGCAAATTCTTTAAGTCCTGACAGGCACACAATGAAATAAACAAAAACAACAACTAATGATCAGACAAAACACACACCCAACTGTCACTTGCTGCTCAGTGATCTCCCAATGGTCGGGACACCAGTAGTTACCATTTCGCCACGTAGAACACTTTTTCCTGCACATGCTGCATGACATGTAATACCACGGGCTCCGGGACTCAACCGATCGGACTATACCACCGCAACGATGCTTTTCATCCTGAATATAAACATTGACAATCCCAAAAAGAAATAAAAAAACATAAATAAATGGACAACCCGAAGACCATTCTAAAATTAAGAACTACATCGGAATGCAACTCACGACAGAAGCACCGCCATGGTGCAAATCAAGAAGCTCAACTATGGTCCTGGTTCTCCGCTCAGCATCAGCAACAGCGTCCCCTGGGGTCTCAAACTTGACCGGCAAATCAGCAACAGGAACTCTGGATCCACCAAAACTACATAGATGGACACAAAAAAAGTAAAGCAAACCAAACACCACAATACAAATCTAGAACAACAAAATCACAGTTTAGCAACAAAGAACCCACAAAGCAGCGAGGCTGTAAGCTTCTGGTATCCTCGGGCTAACAACTATACGGGTTCCAGAGGAGCTCGAACAGGAATATTCACTAGCTGTACAACAAAAACAAAATCAGTTCACAATTTATGATCAAGCAGAATGGAAAAGAGTTAAAACACACACGTATCAAACGACCAACCATGAGCCCCCCAACTCCAACGATCACTGGCTCAATGGAGTCCGCCTGAATCAAAGCAGGTCGATCAAGGACTGCCGTCAGTTCATTCCAAAGCGTGATCGACACTCTCTGGCCCCTGACAGCAAAACAAAGGATCATATCTTACGTGAAGGTGACTAAACAGTATTCCCCAGTGGAAAAATAAAATAACAGAAAGACCTACTGTGCATTCTCAAGGACCAGAACTTGTTTTGGAGTCGAGCCGTGATTAGTAACCTGATGATCAATCCCGCTAATAGAATGAAGACGGCCGACAACATCTGACCGAAAAAAAAGAGCAGTAGGAAGACATAAAACCCAATCCACTTCAGTCAAGAAAACACAACAATCACCTGCAAGGATGCGATTGTCCCCTGAACGGTTAGACAGCTCACTATAAGGAACAACCTCAAAGGAATCAGTTGAAAATTCAGCTGCAGGTAGAGAACAGGCCTGGAAAATAGTTGTTGCTGACAACTCTATTATCAGATCAAATGAGCATGCACGATAGAGATTCCTTGCGGCACTGAGACCAAAAGATCTTAGAACGTAGATAACTCCCACGCGCAACACACGCTCAAATTCAGACCCAATAGAGACATCAGCAAGGCTCTGAATGAGCATAACCTGAATTAAAAACAAATAAAGACAGTAATGAAAGAGCAAAGAAGGGGGGAAAAAGAGCAAAAAAACAGAAAGCACTGTAATCACAAAGAATCAGCGTAAGAGAATCTACCGTCTGATCCACCCAGAGGCAACAGTGATTAAACACCCTTGTCCCAGAAGGATTCTTGGCATACCACATATGGAGCAGACGAAGCCTCAGAGTCACCTCTCTGGTACCTCCTTTGAGATTGCAGAGCAGAGTAGCATCCATGGTGAGGAAAAAGGCGAGAAAACAACGACTAAACCACAGAGAACAAAGAGGGCAGAAAAAAGGAGGGAAATGCGTTCCGAGAATGAGTCCTCTTGTGCAAAAAGAATGAGAAATGGCCTTCTCCACCTGAGCGCACGCATCGAGGCACTGAATGACGTCCACAGTGTTTGTAACAGTAAACTTTTTGACACCCTCCCGCCATCAGGTGAATAACCGGTATCAATCAGCCGCCCACCATTCCCAAGGCACCTCCAATCCCAGCCAATCAGCCGCCAGGTTTCTCCAACATAGTCCTGCGAACAACAACCCAACACGACCCTCTAGCAATCCCTAACAGACACAATCATATCATGCAAGACTCACTGAGGACATCTGAAGGCCCCATCCCTCAGGTGAATAACCGGTATCAATCAGTTGTCCACCATTCCCAACCAAAGCACCTCCAACCCCAGCCAATCAGCCGCCAAGTTTCTCCAACACAGTCCTGCGAACAATGATATCACGCAAGACTTACTGAGCACATCTGAAGGCCCCATCCCACGTGGCCGGGCAGGGGCAAAGTCACATACCGATCTCTGATGACCAACGCGCGTCCGGGCCACCAAACGACCGCAACTAAGGCCAACCAGAAGCCAACGACCAGTCCCACCCCGACCGAGCCCCCAAACCCCGCCAGATCCCAATGAGGCCTCACCCAACTCCAGCCCACACCGAAGGACACGCCAGGTTGAAACAGTAAATCTCAGTCATGTTGTACAGTAAAAGGTGTCTGTCTGTGCAGTACACGGGCATGCGGCGAGTTTCTTTCTTTCAATGTTGAGCTGACCTTATAAATCCATTAATCTCCTTGTAATTAATCGATGTGGTACAAGCTGATTTTTTATGGGTAAACAGATACAGAGTAGCTTTACAAATAATTCCAGTTAACAATGTATACAAGAACACATATATCCAGGGCTGAATTGAATACAGTTTATCAGTGATAACTTGTGATAGTTATCACTGTTATTGCTCCCGCTTGTGTGAGTACCAATACTGGTTGCTGCTGGGTTGGAAGAAGTGACTGACATTCGGCGACGAGGAAGAAGAGCCGCCGCCGGCGGCCATATATGCGCTTGGTCTATTCACATTATTAGTATTATTAGACGAAGATGACAAGAATCCTGATGATGCTGCTGCAACTTGCTGCGACGACGAGGAGGCCGGCCACTTGGGGACGCCGTCGCTATTAACAACAACGCCGGTCAATTGATTGTGATGCGCCCAGCTGCCCCTCGTTTCCTGATCCACACACAACGTACGAAACAGCCTCGTCAGGACAAAAAAAAAACTAGTCAAAGGGCAAGCGTTGACTGAATCAATTCAACTGGCCGTGGACCCGTGGTGGTGTGATTAAGGTGCATACCGGGTCAAAGGTGGACGGCGACGGAGACGGCGGCGGCGGCCAAGTTTGGAGGGTGTTGGAGGCGATGTTAATGGGCAGGCCGTGAAGTGGCTGGAAACCGAAAGGTCCTGCTGCTGCTCTGCTGCTGCTGCTAGTGGTAGCTTTGTCGACCTTTTTCCCATTGGGTGCTGTTGAGTTTGGTGATGATGATGATATTCCCAACCTTAGATCGAGATCGTCCTCGCCGCGTCCTGTGATTCCCATTAGAAAGGAATATTAGTTGTTTTGATTGTGAATATTACTGGATCGCGGTATCCGGCTGGTTGATTAGTTACTGGTCGAATGGTGATGTGAAACGTACCGGAAGCGTTAGTGTCGAATTCTCGTGGCTGGATATTTGTCGGGGTTGCGGTGCCACTGTAACCAATTGTCGTCTTATCGTAAGCTCTGATCAAAGTAAATAAAAAATGAGATCAAATTTCACCACTTTTATTGAAAAATATTATTTTTAACGAAAACCTAAAGTAGAAAATTGAAAATGAAGTAGGAGGAGTCTAGGGGTGTACATAGATCGGGTGGTCCGGGTTTAGCCATTTTAATCACCAGGCTCATGCACTATGGTTTGGGAAATATTACACTTAAACCCACCCAAAAAAAAATTAAACACTACGGTTTGTTTCTAATTGGGTTGGGTTGGGTTGACGATATTTTTAAGTAAAAACCCAACCCAACACAAAATATTTAATTATTCTACACCATAAAAAAAATTATAACTAATTAAAATTTCAAACGAATAAACCAAGGTGAAAGGTATCAGAATTTACAAATATTGTTTCAATTTTAATAAAATGTGATTTACTTCGACATATGTATAGTTTTTTTTCACGATATTTGTTGAAATAAGCTAAGAAGGTTATAAACGAATACACCCATAATATGTTATTATATTAAAATTGTACACAAGAAAAAGGATTACGTGAATCGTAACTATATTAAATCTATGTAAACTTTAAGCGGAAGAATACATTAGATTAGGGAGGCCATGAGGGGAAAACATTTTGAAATATATATCTTAAGTATGGCTATATACGACATAAATATTTTTTGGATACAAACTCCCGCCGACAGTTGGAACACGGGTTGGGATGGGTTCTACGAGTTGTGTAATCCAAAATCCAAACCCAACCTAAAAGAGGCGGTTGTACAAATGAAAACTCTCACCTAACCCAAAACATTCATTTTGGCGATAAATACGGGTGGGTTGGGTCGGGTTGGACGGGTGGGTCCGTTTACGGGTGTGTTTGTTCACCCCTAAGGAGTACCTTGCAGCTTCTACTTTACCCTCACCGTCACTAAATATATAGCTTTTTCGCTTAAAAACTTAGTAAAAAATGGGATACAAACGATCCAATTAAAATTAACTAAAGTTAACGGATCATTTGGATGTATGAATTGAAAAATGAAACTACTAAGTTAATTATCTCATTTTACAAAAATGAGTCGTTCAAAGCGATTAAATTCTAGTTATATGTCCCACCCTAGATTATTACAATTGCCTAAAAAAAAAGAATTAATTCTAAACTCCCTATACCAAATTACTTCATCTACCTTTTATATGGTTGAACATTCTTTAACCTAATCAACTAAAACTACAATTAAGTCAAATTAATTCATTAAAGTGCATGTTCAAACCAAACCTAAGATAAGTGTTGACAGCAAGTTTGAAAGGAAATGTGTTAAATGGATGGTGAAAAATGGTTTGACTTACTTATTATTGACAAGGAGCTGGGCCATTCGGGCTTCCCATTGGCCGGACTTCTGAACGGTGGCGCCGCCTCTGTATTTCGAGCTCCCCCGCGAGAATCCGGTGGTCTGCCGCCGGAGAACCTGCACAAATTCTTCTTTCCCCAAATCCTTTAACTGCATCACAGCAAAACAACACAGACCCCATTATTCTCGTTTTTTTCATTAATTAATTAACGATTTAATTAACCAGAATTAAGTTGATGAAATCCTTACCGCCTTCATGTCCTCGTCGTAATCGGTCAAAGTAAAGTTGATATCGGCATCCACTCCCCGGAACTTGATCGCCGCCCGATCATAAGCCCTGATCACCATGATATAATTAACCCACCCACGTTAATCTTAATCACCTTTAAAAAAAATCCGACTATGTCGACGTGTCACAGTAACGAATAGTTAAATAATTTTTTTAATTACCTGGCCGCAGCATGGGCAGTGTCGAAACCACCTAAATACACTTGCTTCCCACAGTCCCTGAGAATCATCAACCAACACAAACCCTAATCATTACCCCCCAGAAATTCCTAACCGCCGAGGGAATAATTAATCATGATTAGCAACCATAATTATGATTTTTTTATACACTATATGATTACATTAGTTTCCATTTGCAGAAAGTGGGTGGGGGATGCACATCATTCAGAAGAAGATGCTTTTGTATTATTTAGAAAAATAGCTAATTAAATAATCAAAAAAATTTATTTTTTCCTAATTTGGTAACCGCATTTGATTAATGAAGTAGTTGGTTTAGTTAGTCAACCAAATTAATTACTTTCTCCTCACCAGATATGAGACTCCCAACGGCCGGTTCGCCGGTAAAAAGTGACCCCTCGGTACTGCGAGCTCCTCGACCTCGGCCCCCGCCGGCTCTTCCTCGGCTGCACCGCTTGCTTCGCCGGCGCCGGCGGCGAGGCCTCTGCTTCCGACAACTTCAGCCACTGATCAGGCGCCGCCGCCGGTGGGTTGAGCTCCGGCCCCGTCCTCTCCGGGAAGAGCTGGTGGGTGGTCGGGATACTACCCTCCTTGCGCAAAATGTCGAAAGCGAATGCAGAGGAAGCGGCGGGGATGCTGTTGAGCGAGCGGGGAAAGGGTTCTATCTCGGTGTTGATTATGTCGGAGGAGGAATCGGAATCGTTTCCGTCTTCGTCGGGGAAATCGCGATCTGGGACCCGAGCGTCCATCATCGTCGATTGTGCAGGCGATTCGGATGATGATCGGAGCTTCTTCGCCGCCGCGGCGAGGTACGGCGTCGTATTGGGGTGGAGGAGGATGTCTAGATTGAGATCCGGAGCGGAAACAGACGCTGCCGGAAAATAGTTGTTGCTGCTCGGAATCTTCCTCTTGCTCATCGATCTATGCTGGAAATTGTGATAGGATGATCGGAGGAAGGAATCCGAGAGAGAGATTGGAAATTGCTAGCTGCTGTACTTGCAGATGATTTGGAGTTTTATATGCACAATTCTGGGAACCGAGAGAAAAAAACAGGGGAGGGAGAGAGAGAGAATGGAGGGGACGTGTTGAGTGAGACTCAGAGAGCAGAGCATCATTATTCCATTAATTGATTCCTCCTCTGCCTATGAATATGATGTTAGTTGTTAGTTGTTGTTTTTCCATGGTTGCCCCTCGATCTGTAAAAAAAAATATCTCCTCCCTTTTCACTTTGTGTTTCTTTCTTCTTGATTTTAACATTTACCCTTTCCCTCCTTGAACCAAACCAATTCATTGTTGTAATGATAATCCGCGAGAGGTATTACGTTCGAATCTCATGGTAATAATGTAAGGATGGTAGTACAGGAGATGCATTAAGGAAACCCAGTCGTTGTGACTGGTCGTCTGCATCTATACGAATGTTTGATGACTTGAGTTGGCTTTTTGACGAGCTGGCATACGGCTGATTAAAATTTTAAAATTTGATGGTTATATGTCTAGGTTTTAAGTTAGAATATATAGATCGGATAGAACGGGGGTGGACCTAGGTTGGTGATATGGGCTTGTCAATCGACAAACCTCAATCAATTTTAGAATAAAATACTTTTGTACAGGTTTATATTAGTGATGGTAGTACATTTGAATCGATTATTTGACGATCCTTTGAAAATTTTATTTTTATCGTTGAATATTTTTTTATCTAATTTATGGATGTGTCGGCTGTATATAGACGATGTTGTATCGATTCGCGGGATGAACAATGTTTACATTTGGAGCAAATTCTTGATGATGGTCACTTTCCAATTGAGATGGTACTTGCCCCCCTCCCACGAAACATAAGATCCTTGCTTTATACGGAAATTTTGACTTTAAGTATCATTATAATAATAATGATGATTTACTTCACCCCACCACAAAATAAAAAGAAATGAAATGAAACTATAAATATCGTAAACTTCTCATCAAAGATAGCACATAAATTGCATTTATAAATTGGTGGATTAATCATGGGTTGAATTACTAAATTGGATTCACGATTCAACTTACATCTAAATTTTGGAGTATTTACGAAAACGACTGAATCGACACATCATCTTGCAATTTGTCCTCAACTTATTATAAGTCATTTTAAATGTCACGTTATTAGCACAAGTGCGATCAAGACGAATAATTAAACATTGGTTATTATTTTGCATTCTGATTGGTTTGACGATTCATTTTTAGAAATTACAAGATATTGCGGCTCAATTATATTAAACCTGTAATGTATTATAGTAACCACCAATCACTTCTCTTTCACTGTGTAATAATATGAGATACCTAATGAGAGTGGCAGTTGATGATTGGACGACCAAAGAAGGCGACGTGGCAATAATAATATTCATCGTCCCCTCCAAATAGGAAAATAATGTGATTACGGGTAGGGCTAGTTATTTGGTCCCGGCTTTTGGTTTTATCCAAAATTGGACCATATAACTCGGATCAAAATCGGATCGGAATCGGATAACAAACAATCCAATCCAATCTTCGAGATTGGAGGTAAAAAATCATTTGGGACCGGATAGAAAACCGGATAAGAGAGCCCAACACCTAAAAATTTAACCTCCTCACCCTTTCAGGCCTTAGGCCACTCAAATCCTCCCCTAAGGCCACTCAATTCCCCACAAGATCAATCTAAAAACAAGACCAAATTGGGACTAGACCGGTTCAAAACCGAACTGGATCAAGACCGGACTGTATCTAATCCAATCTTTGATCCTTATATTCTCGAAAAAACTGGACCGAAACCAGATTAATTCGGACCAATTTAACCGAACCGGTTCGTATAGCCACCCCTAATTACGGGATAGCCCATAGGGACGAAAAACAGGGACGAAAAAAAAGTGTAAATGTAAAGTCAAATTTCTGCCATAAGTAGAAATTCGGTATCCTGGCCTGGCTTGGTTTAGGAGTTGGGACCACTTGCGTAACTGTACCTATTTTCTTAATTTAGCTATTTTTGTCACAATTATTGGGTCTACGGATCGAAGGGCCCATCTCCGCGGCCCACCACGAGGTCCACGATTATTCTGAGGCTGAGATGTTTATCAGTGAATCGGACGGCTGGGAGGCTCCTTCAGTTTTTCACACTTTGCTCTACAACTCTGCCGACTGAGAACCTACCATTCCCATTTTGCCCCCGCCAACCAAAAATGAACAACGTGCGAGAGCTTTTGTACTTGCAAATTCACATGTTTTAGAAACTTACCGTACTGATGAGTCAGATCGAAAATAACAAATATCGTAATTTATACGATAAACGATTGTAGTGATACGAAAATGTGATATATCTTTTCTTACGGTTTCACGATCATTGATTTTCCATTCCTTTTCGCACTTGCTATACTTGGGTGTCAGCGGATCGTGTATTCGACCCTCCACAGTCGTAAGATGGACACGATGATGATCTTGTAAATCAAAATTTTACCACATTTATCCCGCTACTCCAGGGGTACGCAATGGACGAGTTGATGACGTTTAGCAGCATGAGCACGTTCTCAAATACAAGTTGTGATTATGAACACCGTATTTTGGATTGTAATTTAGATGTACCATCCAAAATTTCAGAAATGAAAAAAAAGGAGTTGGGGTAGCTTGAATTATAGTGTCAAATTAAGAATTAGAGTTTTATCAGATGTCTTATTTTCTATATTTATTGTGAAATTTCATATTTACGCGGGATAGTTGAGACTTGAGAGGGACATATCTCCCCACTTTTCACTCTCTAATTAGTATTTACATTGTCGTTGTAACAAATTTGCACAGAATGTATTCATACCAAATTAATATTTACATCGACTGAAATCAAATTAGATCTTGTTCGACTAAGTTCATGAACTATCGATAAGTGAAGCGAAATTTGAATATATTTTCGATAAACTAACAGTAAACGAATCAAATATGGTGTAGGTCTAACGTTGGTCAATATTTTTTCTTTATTTTTGATTTAGTTCTATCCCGTTTCAATATGATTTTAAACCGAACCGATCAAATACGAACCTCTATTTCCATGAGAATAGGCCACACGTAGTTTTTTGTTGGTATATGCTTTAAAATTAATAATGATATTTGGTTTGTAGGATTGTACTTAGCTTCCCCGAAAAAAAGGAGTAGAAAGGTGTCTCTTCTGCTTTATCAAAAGCCAAATTTTACATGGGACCAGCAAAGCAAGCAAGCAAGCATCTTCAATTTTCTTGATTTCCAGTAATATGGTCCACGACGAACTATTACTATGGTGGCTTTGGCTTTCTCTTTGGTTTCTTTAATAACAAGGTTGTAAAGCGACACCTATTACATTAAAAATCACGTGGTGTTATACTGATATGAGCTTGGGTTAACAGTAGAGGGAGAAGCTGTCAGGGAAACAGTATGGAGAAAATGGATTGAAGGTGTGATTTTGATCACTCTCTTTAAAGTGTTTATTTGGCCTCACTACTTAGTTGCTAGTAGGATTTAGGCAAACCACCCCAAGGAGTCTCTCCAATCAAAGTCAGAAAGCAGCACCTTTCGTGACTTCTGTGTTTGTGTTTTTGGAGAAGGAAAAAACGAGGAGAAGAAGATGAACGTTGGACCTGAGAAGTTCGGCTGCATAAGACTTTTTATAGTGAAAATGACAGTTCCCTTCCGAAGGGTTACATCGTTTCACAAAGTCAAAATCAAATAATTATCCGGATTAATTAATTAAATTAATTAGCCAAAAATTCAAATTTGAACGCGTCGCCCAAACGTGCAAAGTGCGTAGTGAGATTAAATATGTCAAATTAAATAGCCCACACTTTTTCCATAAGCCCACTAACCACTTTATCCAATAACTAAAGTGGAAAGCAAACTTAAAAACAACTTGCATTTTCCTTCTCCCACCGATGTGATATTTCCTTTACTCTTTGACTACTCTAACAGAAGCCCAACAAAATGCAAAATAACCCGCGGGCATATCATCATTCAAACTCCAAGAACAAATTCTGGTTAGTGCGACTTCATTATACTCTTTATCTGTCAGTTTATATGAGGAAAAATATTTGACATCAAATCATTTACTTTGTATCGATTTGGTTATGGTGCTCACAACTCATTTGTAACAACATGCTTTCAAGGGTATGAGGTCATTGAATTGCTTGTGAGTGCTTCGCAACCACTGAATGCATGCACGCAATACTTTTTTCAGTAAAATATCATCGCAATCATCCATAAATCATAAAAGAAATTTGCACAATTTTACACGTTTATAAGCATTTTCTCCCGTATGGATGACATATATTTTAACCAAAATGGTACAGTTCACCTCTAGGCTCGGTGGCAATTCACAATCCAATCCACCAACCCATTAAAAATATCCACCTAATCCAATCCATTTAAATCAAATCCATTTGATCCAAATCCAATTGGATTGGTGGATTCATGGATTGATCCATTGATCCAAATGACAAATTACGGTTTGGTACCTAATATTTTTCATTATGACATTTTAGTACCTAAAATTTTCACATTTTACATATTGGTCCTTGGTTGAGGATGTCATTTGGATTCATGGATAATCCACAAATTCACTTGATTCAATCCATGAATCCACCAATCCATTGAATCCATGGATCCACCAATCCAAGGATCAATCTATTTGCCGCCTCTACAGTCATGGGTTGTTGGACGTGGATAGGGATGAGAAAAGTAACCCAACATTTGGGTATTGGCTTATTGCTCGAATCGTGGATTAAATCGAGTTTTTGGGTAATATTACAATTATAACAAACTTAAACGTGGTCTAAATAAGACCCGTTATATTAGCTACGTAAAAAAAAAAAAAAAGATACCCAATTCTAATGGGATTGTTTTATTTTTGAAACAAACAAAACATTGAAAAATCAACATGGATATATGTAAAATG